TAGGCATCTGCCGGAGGGGGAGGCTTTCCCTCCTCAAAAGGGCTGGGCTTCCCTCCACCTCGGCAGAGGGCTCCTCCCATTCTGCCCTAAACTGTCTAGGTCCCAGCAAGGAGTGCAGCTCCTGTGTCAAGGGGCTGGTAGCGAACCGAGCCCTCTGTTCCAAGTCAGCTCCCCTTTGTCCAAGTAGGAGTTTAGGCCATGCCCGTGCATTGTCGAGTAGCCCAAGACCGTAACCACCCCTCTACCGGGTAGGTGGTTTGCACTGTGACAGGACAAGGACCAGTGATACTTCCACTGGCTAACAGGGTTGCATACACCACCACCAACTGCTTAATAAGGGAGTGATGACTCTCAGCTCTGTTCAAGGACCAGAACCCAGTAGGACTCTTTCGAGCCCCTTGTTTCTGCCAGAGACTCCAGCCAAACTGCGAGTCGTCCACTTGTATGTCAGGAGGAACGGCAAAGTCGGACCCACGACTCTCAGCGTCTGCACCTGGGCCACTGTCTGTTTCATGGCCAGAAACGCTTGCTCCACCGTAGGAGACCAGTCCCAGGCCTCCCCCTTCCGGGCCATGTGGTGGAGGGGTTTCATCAGCATGGCTAAACGGGGTACAAAGGTTCTCCATAACCCTAGCAGTCCCAAACGTGTCTGCAACTGTTTCACTGTTTCTGGTCAGGGATAGACCTGCATTTTATTTATAATTGCCTCTGGCATGACCTTCGTCTTACCCGAGCAAACAACACCCAAGAATTTGACAGAGTATCCAGGCCCTTGCACTCTGTCCTCACCCGCCAGGGCTTCCCAAAGGCTGCGAGCTCCGGCTTCTAGCTCTCACCCTGCCGACTGTGCCAAGTGTCAGAGACCGGGCTGCAGGGGAGGTTTCGGCAATGAGATACCCAGGGTAAAGAAATTCGCAGAGCTGGCATCAGGAGGGATCAACAGCAGCATCTTTATTCTCAGCAGCACAGTGGCAGCCCCCAAATAGGCCAGAACATTGGACATACAGTTCACTCTTTGTTTCCATACGGAGGGCAGAGCTCAGTGTGGGAGGTTTTCCTGGTTGCACTGCTTTGCACCGGGTAGGGCAGGGGCGTGGGTGGGCACGCACAGTGTGGTGAATTTCTTATCCTTTTTGCTGGAATCTTTTAAAAAGAATTTAAAAAATTCTGGTACAGTTGACATTCAATATTATGTTAGTTTCAGGTGAACATCAGAGTGGCTAAACATTTAGATAATTTATGAAGTGATCCCCCCATAAGTCTAGTTACCTACCTGGTACCATACATAGTTATTACAGTAATATTGACTATGTTCTCTATACTGTTCTTTACATCCCGATGACTGTTTTGTAACAGTCAGTTTGTATTTCTTAATCCCTTTACCCTTTTCATCCACCTCCCTAATCTTCCTCCCATCTGGCAACCATTAGTTTTGTTCATTGCATCTATGACTTTTTGTTTTGTTTTGTTTTTTAAGATTCCACATATAAGTGAAATCATACGGTATTTGTCTTTCTCTATTTGACTTATTTAATTCGTATAACATCCTTTAGGTCCATCTATGTTGTTACAAATGGTACATTTTCATTCTTTATGGCTAAAAAATATTCCACTGTATATTTATGTACCACATCTTTATCCAATTGTCTGTTCATGGATACTTAGGTTGCTTCTATATTGTATATGGCTATTGTATATGAAATGTCCTTCTTTGTTATAGCCTTTGTTTTATAGTATATTTTGCCTTACATAATTATTGCTATCCCCAGCTTTTATTTCATTTCCATTGATTTATTTTTAAATATGTTTTTATTGATTTTTTTAGAGAGAGAGGGAGAGAGAAAAACATTGATGTGAGAGAGGAACATTGATCAGCTGCCTCCTGCACTCCTCCTACTGGGGATCGAGCCTGCAACCTGGGCATGTGCCCTGACCGGGAATTGAACCAGGACCTCTCAGTCCATGAGATGATGCTCAATTCACTGAGCCACACCAGCCAGGCTATTTTGTTTTCATTTACATGAAATACTTTTTCCCATCCCTTTACTTTCAGTCTGTGTGTCTTTTGATCTGAAGTGCATCTCTTGTAAACAGCATATAAGGGTCTTGTTTTTTTATTCATTCAACTACCCTGTGTCTTTTGATTGCAGCATTTGATCCCTTTACATTTATGTAGTTATTGCCATTTTATTATTCATATTTTTGATATATTTTTCTTCTTATAGAAGTTCCTTTAGCATTTCTTGTAACTCTGGTTTGGTGGTGAACTGTTTTAGCTTTTTCTTGTCTAGGAGCTGGAATCTTGTCTTGGTTGCACATTGGACTCAGTGCTTTTGCTTCTGAACCGCTCGGTGGAGTTCTCACAAAGATGTCCTAGTCTGTACGATGCTATTAACTCAGTGTCTCTGTAGGTGGGGAAGGGCCTGCAGCTTTCTAGTCCACCAGTTTGCTGACATCACTCTCTATTTCTTTTCTACTCTTATTTTTTTTTAATTTTTTTTTTTATCCTCACCCGAGGACATTTTCCCATTGTTTGTTCAGATAGAGTGGGAGGGAGAGAGGGAAGGGAGAGAGAGAGAGAGAAACATCAACGTGAAAGTGACACATCAAGTGGCCACCACCCGCACGACCAACCAGGGCTGGGGACAAACTGCAACCGAGGTACATGCCCTTAGTGGGATCTGAACCCTGGTCTCTCTGGACTGCAGGCCGACGCTCTAACCGCTGAGCCAAATCGGCCAGGGCTGCTCTTTTTTTTTTTAAATAAAGTTCTTAAATGATGTGCAACACACACCCAGAAAAGTACATAGACCATAATGGCACAGCCTGATAAATGTTTAGACATGAACACACTTGCCTCCCCAATACGGAAAGAGCATTACCAGCATCCCAGAATCCCATTCTCCCCCTTCACTCTTTGACTTCTCTTTTCAGAAGTAATTACTGTCCTGACTTCTGACTTCTAGCCTCGTAGATTATTTTTTCCTGTTTTTGAACTTCAGACAAATGAAATCATACAGTTTGAACTTTATAAAAATTGATTGAAGTGTTGCCCTTGCTGGTTTGCTCAGTGGTTAGAGCTTTGGCCCGCAGACCAGAGAAACCCAGGTTCGGTTCCCGCTAAGTGCACGTACCTTGGTTGCAGTTGGTCCCCGGCCCCAGATGGGCTTGTGTGGGTGGCGGCCAGGCGATGTGTCTCTCTCACATTGATGTTTCTCTTTCTACCTCCTCTCTCTCCCGCTCTATCTGAAGATAAATGCAAATATGTCCTTGAGTGAGGATAAAAAAAAAGTTAAAAAAAATGGAAGTATTAAAAAGTACATAGAGACATGTAGAGAAGTGCACATATCATAAAAGGTGCAGCTTGATGAGTTCTAAAACTAAACACATCCACATAACCGACACCTGAATCAAGACAAAACATGCCAGCATCCCAGGAGTCCCAGCTGCATCCCTGCAGTCACCGCCAACCCTTCCCCTTCTCGGCACTTCCAAGGAAACCACTTTTAATAACAAAGATTAGTTTAGACTGTTTTGGACTTCTTGGAATCAAACAGTTTTGTGTCTAGTTTTCATTCAGCATGTGTATGAGATTCATTCATGTTGCATGTAGCATTTCTGTTGCCGTGTACTTTTTTGTTGCATGAGTATCCCAGTTTTTCCCCCATTCTGATTTTAATAGACCTTTGAGATTTCTGTAGCTTTTGGTTGTTTTGAATAGGGCTGCCGTTCGCATTCTTGTGCGTGTCTTTTGGTGTGCACACACACTCATTTATCTAGGGGATGACTGGGTCGGGCCAGAGGACAGTCATGCCCTTGGTTCTGGTTTTGCAGGGTGATGTCCGAATTCACACTCCCGCGTCGCAGTATATCAAAGTTCCAGTTGTTCCATTTCCTCAGTAGCACTTAGCATCGGCAGTCTTTTAACATTTTTTCAAAGCTCATTTCTTATTTTTTTCAATTTTTTTATTGCGGTAAAATATACTTAATAGAATTTACCATCTTAACCATTTAAAGGTGTGCAGTTCAGTGGCATCAGATACATTCATTATGTTGTGCAGCCATCACCACCACCCACCTCTGTAACTTTCTCATCCAGTTGAAACTCACTGAAGAAGAGCTCTCCACTCGAACCCTGCGGCCCCTGGGCACCGTGCCCTCTGCCGGACCGTGAGGACTCTGCCTCACCAGGTGGACTCGGATGAATTTGTCCCTTTGTGACTGGCTATTTCACTTGAAAGAAGGTCCTCAATCCATGTTGTAGCATTAGCTAATTTCTTCTTAACCTGCTCATTTACTTTTCCATGTACATAAGAAATTTCACAGTATAATTTTCATTTTCACGTTATCGTTCTCAAAATGTATTCAACTCAGTCCCTCATTTTCAGTTATTGTATCAGCCTCCGCACGAATCGAGAGAGAGCTCTGGGTTTCCACGGCGCCGTGCAGGCTGCTCCTCTCGCTGGTCGGCTGCGGCACAGGCCGCCCGGCTGCGACCTGGGTCAGTGCCCTTCAAGTTTCTTCTCGTCACCTGAAGGGCGCTCAGTGACGCCACAGCACACCTGAGGCCTTTCCGTGCCGAGTGTTGTGTTTGCAGGAGGAAGTTCTGGCAGAAAGGGCAGAGAAGGTGTAGGTTCCACAGAGACTGTGATAATTTACATAAAAAAAGAGAAAAAGTAGACAGCACCGGACAGATTTAGTTGCCAAGGATTCAAATTAGATTTTACACCATTTGCCCTCAATCAAAACTAAAGTAAGATTCCTTTATATCAAAATGTCATTAATACTGACTGGTATAAAGTTGAAAATGAAATTGTTTTACTCCTCATGTAATTAAAAATGTTCCTTGAAGTGTTGGGTCTTTTGTTTTAGCTCCTCAGGACTAGAAGGCATGCTGAATAGAGGCTTGTCATCCTTTCTAGGAGTCCGGATCCCTAAGCAGGGAAGGGGGGGGGAGCGGCTGGAGGAAGTTACCCCCCTGCCCTTTCTTCCCTCATTAGCTGCCTCTTGAAGTGGATTTAACTAAAGCGAAGAGACAAGATTTTGAACCATCTGTAGAACAAGCGAGGTACAGCAGCTGCCGACAGAACATGGCTCTGGGACCCCCAAAACCACAGGAGGTGACCTCCCCTTGCAGACCCAGCCACTCAGACGACCCCCACATTGTGATACAGGGGGATAAGGACAGCAGCTCCCGGTATGGGGCCTAAGTTCCCCGCCTTCCTCTTCTGCCTTCTCATGTAGCCTCACCCCCAGTTCTACCTTCAGAGCCACATGTTGCACTGTGTGCCCCTCAGGAACTCACTGCCACCTTGTCGCTCTTCGGTGCAGAAGCCTAGCGCCCTCGGCTGCGGAGAGCGAGGCCACTTACCAGCGGAAGCTCCGGCAGAAACAGTTGCAGCAGCAGTTCCGGGAGCAGATGGAGAGACAGCAGCAAGTTCAACGCCCTGCTCCGAGCACTGAGAAAAAGGACCAGGGTTTGTGACAAGGATGGGAGCAGCGCCCCGGGGAGGTGTAGTCTGTACCCCAGGAAAGGCTTGTCCCCAGGGCCTGATCCTCTGCCAGCAGGGTGCTGGGGTCCCCGCCGGAGCTCGGTGGGACGTCCCTCCTTACACTGGCAGAGCTGAGTCCAGAAAATTAAGACAGTGAGCCCCTGCCTTGTATTTCCCCGTTTCTGAAGACACGAATCTTTCGGGTTGGGGGAAGTGATGGGCCTTGGCAAAATCTGAAGTAGAAGTGTCATGGTACAGAGTTGTTTTTCCAGTTACCCATGACTGTCCCTGCAAAGCCTTTCTGAGTTGTCTTTGAGTATAAGGCAGATCTGCACTTGACAGTAATGGGAGCTCTGGGCAGTTCTCTCTATGAACTTGCTTCCCAGGCCAGATTCAGCGGGACTGGCAGGTCCAGGTGTCTGTGGAGTCTTTCCCAGAGTAGAAACAGGGAGGGCTGATCCCAGATCAGCTGCGTTTTTAGCACAGCTTCTCCCTAAGAATTATGACGTTCACAGAGGACTTGCTCCCATTAACGGTCCCCTCAGCACCTAGGCTGAAATTAACAAAGGGGGAAAAAAATACACCCACAAAACAAAGTTACTGTGCTGGGGATGTTCTTATTAAGGATTTTTCTAGATCTTTAGCTTCCAGTTGCAGATGTCCCTGGGGATGGGGGGGGGCAATGTCCTCCGGGCCTTTGCCCCACCCCTACTCACCACTGTTTATATTGTTTTTCTATAGTGAATTCCTACTGAAGACTTTCTTGGAACAAGGGTTATGGCTTTAAATAGTAAAAACTAGACCAGACCAGATGTCTTCTAATAACCCTTCTATTTTTTCCTCTAGAGGAGAAATAAACTGTTTCCCCCAATTTGGTAGGGAGAGAAAGGTTATTGTAACCTTCCTATAGATGTTTAGGTGGGACTGGTCTCAGGAATCTTGAGTTCTGCTGGCTGCTGGGACCAGTGTAGCCCGGGCGCCCGGGCTGTTCCCTGTGACTGAGCTCTGTGGTCTGCTCTGCAGCGGAGCCCGCGGCGCCTCCGAAGCACAGCACTCCCAGGGCCGGCGGTGCGGAGCCCCTGGAGCAAGACCTCCTTGCAGGTGGGCAGGGGCTGACGGGATGCTGAGTGTTGCTTAGGAAACATCTATGAAATGCTTGTAAGTTACTGTGTGGGTACCTTTGGTGGTTACGAATGCATTTTAAAAGAGGCTTCTGTTTCATAGCCCCATGATTTTAGGAAAAAGAGGACCCAGAATGGGTTGGCGGTTCTGACTGGCAGAACAGAGTCATCTCCTCTATTGCCCCAACCTAAGAGAAACTTCAGTGTACCTTTAGGGGTTGGGGACAGAACTTCTAGAAACTGTCACAGGGCCCCCATAGCATAGGATTTCTTTCGACCTGTTTTTCCAGGGCTTTATGTGAGAACACTTCCTCGTTTGTTGATGCTACATTTTCCTGTGATCCTGCAGACAGTTTTGATATATGGGATATGGCTCCAGATGCAGGGGGCGGTGTTGCCGATCCCTTGTCTAGACCAGAGCCGCACCAGACTGCTGCCACACCAGTCCTGAAGAGCCAGATGGTGACCCGGAGCAGGACCCCACAAAGCGTTTGCCACCAGAATCCACAAGCAAAATCCGAACCTTGGCACCTCCAAACTCCCAACATCAACCAACACATGACAGGTAGCAAAGTGTTTTCGGAACAAAAAAATGAAGGGAGAACCTGGGCTTAATTCTGTGAATTGTAAAGGTGGAATTGCATTACATTTAAAAAGGTTGGGTGAGTCATGACAGAGGAATAGCAGTGTAAGAAAATAGAAGATAATTGGTTTGAGAGCCAGAACTTGTCCTTTGGGTCCTGGTGGGAAGCTTAGGCGTGACTGCATTCAGGGCTTTTCCTGGGAAAAGTGGGCCTGTCATTATTGTTGCAACTGAGTCCAGAGTTAACAGAGGGATCTCTTCTTCATAACAATTTTAATTCTTAGGTTTTTGGTTTAAGTCAGGATCATTAACTAATACAATTCAGAAATTACTAGCTGTGAGTTTATTTTAAAACCATGGCAGCTATATTTTAACACCTTTTTCTCATATAGGAAACTGTGACTCCTATAGGAAGAACCAGGACACAAAGAAAAGAAAATTGGATCTATCTTAACAGAGGCCCAGGTCACATCACCGGACTGTCACAGGAACTTGAGAAAACTTTTTAGCCACTGCTCACCAATCCTAGGGAATGAGCTTTATTTCCAAGGATTTACCTTGCTTAGTTCTGAACTTTTCCAGAGGATTTGACTGGAGCCTGCTGCAGATAAAGCCGAGCAGTTGACAAACAAGTACTTTAAAAATGCCTGTCGCACACTGCAGTAGGCTTTGGGGAGATTAAATACTTTTTCTTGGATTCTTGAGGCTCTTCATTTTTTATTCCTATTATGTTAATAAATGTGTACAACTTTTAGGAAACAGTGTTGGCTGAAAGTAATATAAGCCATACTACCAAGCACAAACTTCTAATTGCCTACACTAAATCACTAAGCGACTCTGCCTTCTTTCATGTCAGGGCACCAAGTTCTAAAGTTGCCCACATGAGGACCGTACATGATGCCTAGAACAAAGCCTGGAGTGGTTGTTTTACTCCTGGGCATCGATCCAAGGCCAAAGAAAAGGTATTTCAAGAGCGCAAAATAGCCCTGGCTATTTTTCTCAATGATTAGAGCTTCGGCCTATGGACCAAAGAGTTGCAGGTTTGATTCTGGTCTTCGGCCTGTGGGCCTAAGAGTTGCAGGTTTGATTTCCCAGACCCTGTAGGGGTCATGTGGGAGACAACCAATCAGTGTGTCTCTGTCACATTGATGTTTCTCTCTCTCTCTCTCCCCCACTCTATGTAAAAATAAATGGAAAAATACCCTTAGGTGAGGATTAACCCCCCCCCACCCCCGAGAAAGCACAAAATAAATCCATTATTTGGTAACAAAAGAGAAAATACAAGTAGCTGTTTATAGTTCCCCATTTCAGACATGTGATACAACCCACCTTAACATAAACTATTTTTCCATTGTGCTTAGATGCTTTATAATTCTTCCCCTCAAATAATGGGTTTGCAAGTTTACTTTTTAAGGTGCATTTTGGGCTGTACCTTTTATCTGATCTTGAAGCAGTAGCTGTTACTTCTTTCTGAATAACACCCATTTGCGAGAAGCTGGGAAACTAAGGCAAGGAACTCTTAAAAACTAAGAAGGCAGCCATCCATTTCTACTCTGGGAAGACGCAGAGGCAGTGGCGTACCCTGATTTCCCTTTACCTGTTGTTGGGCAGAGTTGGCCATACCTCCGTCTTTGATTTTGATATCCTTACCATCTCCTTCAGGATAGATATCACCATTGTCTGCAGCATAACCGTGGTTCAGGTCAGAATTGCCACCAAAAAAGTCCTTGAAGTTAGGAATCCAGTTATAAATTGCACACAAAACAGAGCTAATTAAATTACGAGAAAGGAATGGGCTGGAAATGAAATCCCACAACTCAACAAAAGCCAGTTTGGTTTATTTGAATGGTTTCATTAAATAAGTCTACAAAGGTTATAAACTGAAGCACAAAGCGCAATCTTACAAGAAGCGCAACACCCAGAGTTAGTGCAAAATGTACAATTAACGGCTGCGGAGAAACCCAAGGTTTGAATTGTTTATTCAATTTTTTTAAACAGTATACATTGTTAAATAATGTTAGGAAAACATTTATAATTCAGAAAGATTTTTTAATGTGGAAAAAGATACTCAAAGTGTACTATTAACACAAAAATAATTTAAACATTTCAGTAGCTAGTTCATTCCTCTAGGCTTCAGTTATTTCATCCACAGGAGGGGAAAAAAATCAACAGTAAATAAAACCAGTTCTTACTTTTTTGTGAGTGAAGAGATCTCAAAATTATTAAACCAAAGTAACAAACAATGTGCTGCATTCGGTTTGCGTGTTTCTCTAGTAAAAAGTATTGTTTTGTCTTAGGTGGTCCGGTTTTCATTTACTTGGCCACCTTCTTTGTTCTATCCTTACTCTTCCCATCTCCCCAAGAATTCTAAGTAGAGAATGAATAAGTAAACAGTTTGGAAGGAGGGCTTGGAACCCCTGCCCTTTTCACGTCTACACTCCTAAGCCCTTCGTCTCTCACTGGCATCTTGGGGCCCAGGCTAACTTAAAGAGAAGGGCCCGTGAAGGAACAACAGGCCAGGAGAGCCAGCCGGGCTCTTCCATTGTGGTGATTCCTGGGATGTGCCATTGAGGTGGGTAAATAGGTTGGAAACGTCAATTTTCCAACTCAAGAGTCAAGACAAGAAGCACCCAAAAAATTAAGAGTCCTAGCTTTTCCCTCAACTTCAGAGATAATAGAGACCCCAACATAGCCAATTAGGAGAGTATTTCCTGAAAGCTCTGAAAATAATAGAACTGCCCATTACAAGTAGGCATAGCACTAAATAATACTGGTTGGTTGCAGTTATTACTTAAGGAGAATATCTGTTAATATGAAATGTGAGAAGAGCAGTTGTAATTGCAGAAATAAAGGTGGCACAACAGATAATGATCCTGCAACCATTTGGACATTACACAGGAGAAGAGCAGGAGGAATAAGCATTCCTTTCCACAGTGCTTAATGCAGATGTGGGTCCACTTTCCACAAAAATACAGTACCCACGCTGAGCAATGCCTGGTACATCTGCAACAAGAGGAGAGCAATCCAGACAGATTTTCTTAGAAGCAACTTTCTCCATCTGTGACACTTCTCACTATCACGTTTCCCAACTTCAAAACCAGCTCCCACCTGCTTCCCAAGTTCAGCCGTTTCTTCTAGGTGTGTTCAGGCCCAGCTCAAATGAGTAAGGCTCACGGCATCCACTGGCCAGGCATCACATCTTTAAAACAAGTTTGTTCTCCCACTCTGTAGTCTTTTTCTTTCACTTATCGCACACCACCTTTAATCTTTTAAATCGCCCAGTTTTGTTACAGCACCCCTTGTCACTGTTCCTGAAACAGAACTTCCTACTTTCAACCACTGATGTCAATTTAACTTCTCACTCTGCTCACCTTACACCTGCTCTAGCAAAATTGTTGAATGACTTAAAAAAAATACTCTCTCAATTTCCCTTTGGCATAACCCGCTGCTGGGGTCACATGGACCTTAGAATTCCTTCCACATGCCCTTTGCTGATCTGGGGTCTGATGAGAAGTTGATGCTAATGGCAAAAGCAATAGAAGTCCAAGGCACTAAAATATCCAGCAAGCAATACTGGGAGAACAGAAGTATTCAAGTACGTAATTTATACAATTTTACATTCACATTTATTTATCTAATACAATGGAAATACAAAGGAAAAAGTTAAAGTGTCTCAATAAGTAAAGGCTAGAGCTAGCTTTTTTTTTTTCAACCTTTTAAATCTTTCATATTTTCATCTTAAAACTACTGTTGTCCAACAACATTTATATATCACAGTGTTTCCACATCAAAACTGATGGCAAAGTTACATGTCCGCAGGGAACTTTTTTTTCCTAGTTGCTAATGCTGCAGTCAAAGCTGCTAATATCATTTGCTTAAAGCACTAATGACCTATCATAAGAAAGGGCTGAAACCTCAGTCTCCTGGTGTTTTTCACTGGGTTCTAAAGAGAGAAAAAAGAAAGAAGAGAAAGGGGAAAAGTGGAGAAACAGGGTAGGAGAGAGCCCAATACCTTTTTTGCCTCGTGGCTTACATTCTTAAGGGAATAAGGGGCTTAGGGTGGATACCAAAATTAAGAGCGCCACCCACTTGAAAATACAGATGGGGTTTGGTTCTCCCTTGAGTGCTCTAGTCGCTTCCTGATGAAAGCCCCCCTTCCTGGCCCTCACTGGGGGTGCAGGTGAACAGGAAAGCACACCTTGAAGCTGCCCCACCACAGGAAAGCCGCTCTTTCCTTCTTGTCCTGCTCATGAATGGCGCAAGGGGAGGAGGACTCTCCATTCATTCTGAGGGCTCTAAGCGGTATCAAAAACATTCCTTTCCGGCAAGAAGTAGTTAAATGCAGCACTAGTAGTTAGTATAAACCTACCCCCACCACTCAGCACTCTCTTTCTGCCCCCTACTCAGTTAAAGTCTCTAGGTCTAAGTGGTCCGCAGGTTGGAACCTGGGGGGTTGCTGATGGATTTCTGCAAGTTGCTGATGTTGAAATTCTGTAGGGAGGCAGATCCCACAGGCTGGAACTGCCCGAGTGGCTGTGGCGCAGGGCCACCCGTCCCACTCCACTGAGCGCCAAAGGGGGGGGCTGGGAAACCGTACTGCTGTGGGGGGCACATAGACTTGGTGAAGTGACCTAGAGAGGTAGCTGATGCTGCAGGGAGGGGGGCAGAGCCACCCAGGTTCGAGGTCATGGAGATGCACAGCTGTCCAGGTGCAGAGAACTTCCTTGCCATCCCAGGGCCCTGAAAACAAAACAGCTTGTCGTCAAGTGTGGTGTGGGCGTAACACACAAACGTGAGATGAGCAGTACGCAAATATTTTATCACTGGGACTGTCTTAATCTTACAAAACCTTTCGTAATAATTATTGGCTCTTCGCACTTCACCAAACGGGTGAGAACACCCACTCTGAGTGGAAGTGGGTGGTGTCTGTGTGTGTGTATAGGCGCAAAGGGTATTAAAGGAAAAGGGAAAAAAAACTGAGGTGACCAATGGGGAGCGAAGGATTCAGGGAAGGAAAAATGTAAGGGCACCTGGGTGACTTTTGTCTCACTTTTCTAAAAGTGTTAAAATTAACAAGCTACTAAAGGTCACGGCCCGAAATGTCAAACACTAGTCCAGGTCGTTTATATCATCTTGGACTCACGTGCTAAGCGGCTAAATGGGAAACTTACCTCGTAATTCATATGTCCTTTACTTCCTCTTCTGCCTGAAAGATTCATGGCATCTCGGGCCCAATTGTCCACCAACTTGTGCAGGTCATCTGTGAATGTGCCCTTCCTGCTGGAGGTCATGGCAGGGGGCTGAGCCTGCGTGGCTTGGCTGTTCACTGCTCCTCCAACAGTGTTTGTGCTGCTGGTCCCTAGAGTCAGAAGAAGCAACAGAATGGAACCATTACGTGGTGTTTGAGTTATACTTTAATGAACAGGAAAAGCTTCACAGAATGATGAATGGACAAGCCACAGAATGGGGAGAGGATGGATTGGGAAGCCATGTAAGAAAGGAGGATTCCAAGGTCTTATTTAACCAAATGTTTTGCCATAACAGGGTGATGAAACCAGATTCTCTTCAGGAGCTGCAGGTAAGGCTACAGGACTCAGGACAATGGTCAGCACAAAGGGCAGGGCCCTCTCTAGCAGCCTGTTCACAGAGCATCTGCGTATGGAAACTTCCTGCCGGTAACCGGTCCCAGCACTGCACCGAGGAGGGAAGTGTGGGATGGTCAGTGAGGCTAGTTGCTCTAGAGTGTTGCAAAACACAGGGCAAAACAAAATGATTTCTTGATCACTGGGGCAGGGATCAAGGAGGAGTTATAGAAATGCAAAGATAGGTGTTTGGCCCGGCCGGTGTGGCTCTGTGGATTGAGCATCATCCCATGGACTGAGAGGTCCCGGTTCGATTCGTGGTCAAGACACTTGCCTGGGTTGCAGGCTCGATCCCCAGTGTGTGACATGCAGGAGGCAGCCAACTGATGTTTCTCTCTCACACAGGTGTTTCTATCTCTCTCTCTAAAAAAAGATTAATAATTTTTTTTTTTTTAAAGAGTTTGGCCCAGGAAAAGACAGGGTTCCCAAACTATGTGGACACTGCCACAATCTTTAGCTATTCTTGAATAGAAAGAGGTGGTAAGAGAAAACACCATGCTCTGTTCAAAAAACTTTTTTACCTAGACCCGTAAACACAAATTTGTAAACATAAACTTGGGAGGAATGAAGGCTTCAACCTCTCCCAATGTCTGAGTGAAGAACCAAGATTACTTGTGAGGAAGGTTTGTTTGCCTGAATCTTTCAACTCCAGGCAGGCGTGCTACTCCTGAAGACGACCTCAGTTTCAACTGGCTCAAGGGTTCTCAGCCCTTCCACCCCCTTCCCAGAAGAGCAGGCACTCTCGTGGAAGAAATGGGAACATTCAGCTGAGGCAGGGATGCAAAAGGGAGGAGGAAGCTTTGAGGTATGATGGAGGAATTCTAGTTCTATGGTTTGACGAGAAAGAAAGGAGTCTGTGTCCTGCCTGATTTCGGCTCTGCTGGAGGGCACACTGCAGAGTATGCGAAGAGGCACGTGTCAGGGAAGAGGGAGAGAAGAGTCATGATCTTGTTTGTTTACCCTCACCCCACCTTCTTACCAGATTTCACATTGGCTGCAGAATAAATAAAAGCTACTAAGTAAGTGGGAAGCCACTAGGCGTTGAGATGTCCAGGGAACGCTGGGGCTCGGTAAATGCATGCCTTCTGCTCTCAAGGCCGCAGCAGCACCAGAGCACAGCAGCACACCTGAAGCAGCTCTGCCACTGAAAAGCCCTGATCCATTTCTAGCCCAGTTTGCACCCCACTACCCAGGGGACGGCACACACAAGCATGTCTGTACTCGAGAGACAGCTAATTCAGAGGTGAAGCTGCAGAGGAAGGTCACATGCTTCTTACCACCAAGGCAAGACATGAACTACCGCAGTGTGTGCCATCTCCCCTCAGTGCCCGCTGCAGTCCCAGGGATCGCTCTCGCACAGACAGTGTGAAGGGGAGAGTGAGCTCCCCTACGGGACGGGGAACCCAAGTGGAAAGGGGTACAAGCGCAGGAAACAGCCTTCCTCGAAGAGCAAGAGGGAGACAGTGGGGTGGGAGCAGAGGCAGCGGGGACGCAGTTGCGATGTGAAACCCGAAGGTAAGCGCGTCACATGCACAAGGACTGCCGTCCTGTCGGAGTGACCACTGCTGGTGAGCGTGACGGTGAGTGAGACGGTCAAAACAAAAACCAGACGTGATCCCAAGTGAGCAGAGCTGTGAAAGCCAAATACAAGCAGCTCGGTCAAGACGAACACGGCTCACTCACGAAGCCCGGCACACCTCTCTAGTCTCATGCTGTTGCCTTTCATGCTGTGAGGCCCCTTTATAACCAGATTTCGTTTCTCAGTTTAATCTATATTACACAATACTGGATTCTGAAAGTGAGGCTTATACCCTGAGGGAGCGTCAACCATACAGCTGACCTTCTTATTTTGGCTTCTGAAAGCAGGCTTTCCCATTAAAGAAGGAAGCAAACACATCCCTTTCTGACCAGAAATAAACTCCTGGGAAAAGTTGACCATAAAAACTAGGAGAACACATAGTCTATTTAGTCCATTTTAGTAATAAAGTGATTAAAAACATTGGTAATACAGATATTTCTGAGAACACTGTGTGCCTTCCAGAGTATACGAATCTGTAAACCTTTCTCAGTTCTACTGAAAAGCTTTCAAAAGTAGTGTATGCTGAACCACCCAAAATCTTTTTTCACTTTCTCCTGCTATAATACATTTCCCCACCCCATGCCGCCAGACCCTAGTAACAATAACCTATTAGTAGCTACAATTTACTGCCCAGTATGTTTCAAGTATAGTGTTTTCTGGTTGACCCTCTAAGTGGCCTGTAAGGTTGTTGAACTATCTGCACGTTAATGAGAAGCCACCAATCTGAGAAGTCAAACTCGACAAAGTTGTGCTTCTCGCCTCACCAATCCAACAGAGGTGGGGTACAGGCTCTCGCAGGCTTTGACCACTGTTGATTTTCCAGTGGTTGGCACATACTTGTTGACTAATTCTTTCCCAAAGGAGTCAGGAATCCTTGATCTCTATATACATATCCATGGGCTTATCAAGCCATAACTATCAGAGAGGTAGGCTCACAGGGGGTCATTACTGAAAACATTGACTATGAGGTGATTTCTTAATCTGGAAGGATAGCCAGTGGTCAGCGAATAAGCATGTTAAAGAATACATGAGAACAGGTGCAGAACTAGAGAGATGGAAGTTGGGAATCAGGGAGTTGTGAGGCGTCAAGGTTCAAAGAACTCATGGATAACAGGCTTTGCAATCGAGGACCAAAAATAACAGAAAAAAGATAATTACTACAGAGCTGGTTGCAAGGACAGACTTTTTTCACCATCTTCCCTGAAGCACAAAGAGAGAGCAATGTGTTAAAAATAAAGAAACATCAGTGTAAAATATTTAGAATCTCCAAACAGCACACAAAATCCCAGCAAGAGAAAGCAGGAGGGGAGACAGATTGGTAGGACCTGGAGCCCTAGCCACAGATGTAGTTCCGTGGGATGTACCTTACTGGCTGTTAGCTTTAACTTAGTTAACTGATGGACTGTGGTACCTGGCTGACAAAAGCGGAATTTCCATACCCAATCTTTGTATCTACCCTGCATTAAGGTTCTGGGATAGGAAGGAGCTCCAGTTTTTCAGATCTCACTGCTTGAATTTCAAATACCCAAGCAGTCTTTCCATTGACCCTGTCTCACTTTCTGTTTCTCCTGCTGGGTTGTTAAAAAGCACTCAATTAAATGCATTAGCAATTCTACCAAAGTAGGTTAACAGATTACCATGGTTACAGTTTTCACTTCATTTAAATTGACTAATATATTTCCACATCCTACACATATATACTAACGCTTTCCCCTCTAGAAAGATCTTTAAAAGTATATGGAAAACAAGCAACTTTTGAACATAAAGCATTAAGGCAAGCCATGCTTCCAAATCATTATCTATTCTGAGAACATAGAATAATGCATCCCAAACTAGTAAGACCTCCATGCCTATAAGCACCTGGTTTTTCTTTCCACATTTGTTTTAAATCTGCCACTTGCAATTTGTTCAACAAGGCTTATAAGATATACTGTATACTGATATGCTTTCAACAAGTGTAGGGCCTCTCATTTTAGACCAAAAGGAAGCGATAAGATTTAGTATTTCTAAATATTTTCATTTGAACAACAGTGTAGTAACACCTACCTTTAAGTGTGATGAGAATTTATTGAATAAATTTGAAGTGTACCTGTCATATTACACTTTAGAAAAAAGCCTTGGTTCTCTTTATTCCCTCTTAAATATTTCAGGCTGTATAACACTTGTCTCCACTATTAATGTCTTTTCATCTTTCTAGCTGGACACATAAATTAAATGTGTGTTTAAGCGTCAAGATGCTAATATGCTTGGTCCAGCCTAGTTTAACCAAAAAGTAATTGATCTGAATGCTCAAAAATCACACATGCTTAGAAAACTACCAAACTGGGTAATGCCTTCCACACCCTTTGTCATGTAGCTCTGGTCTAGTGATATGTGAGGCCCGAGGACCTCTGAACCATTTTCAGAGACAGTGATGGCCTTAGCACATGCATTAAAAAGCACGCCAATAACCACATCAGAAGTTTGAGGCCTTAACAGAGATCTTTATTCAAACTCTAACAAAGGTTTTCTACTTGAGCCCTACTTCTGTTTTTTAAATTTTATTTCAATATACATTTCTTGGCCAATCAGAGGGAAATGATGTGTGCTTCCCCAGTGCGGCCTGTTTCCATGTATGTAACTTTATCTGATCAGTACAACGATCCTAGAAGACAGGCATCATCTTCATTTCACAGATGGGGAAGATGGGCTGGAGAGGTTGGGAGACTTGCTATTGTGTCTTGTGCTTAAGAAGAGAGCTGGGAAATCACAGCTCACAGCAATTAAGTTAAAAAGACCATTTTTGCTTGCAGGTGCGGGGATTTGGTCTTTAATCAAAGAAAGGCTTTATGAGAGTAACTACACTGAAACCTTTTCAACATTTGATCTTATGAAGTTAGAAGGTAGTGCTGGTGAAAGGATCCAATAAAGACATTCTAGCATCTTTTCAATTGATAGATGGTTAGGCTTAATTGACCAGAAAAAGATTCCAACCTCCTCTGAAAAATAGAAAAGTACGGCATAACTTTTACCTACTGCCAGGATCTAAGTGCATCAGTGGTCAAGATGCTTTCTGACACTTCTGATGCTAAAGCAAGGGCAGTACTGAACAGGACTGAAGTTCAGTCTTCACTATTCTTTCTTTAAAAAAAAATTTACTGATTGATTTTAGGCAGAGGGAAAGGGGGAGCGAGAGGACGAGAGAGAGAGGGAGATAGAGAGGAAGAGAGAAAGAGGGAGAGAGGGAGATAGAGAAAAACACTGACTTGTTTTTCCACTTATTTATGCATTCATTGGTTGATTCTTGTATGTACCCTAACCGGGGATCGAACCTGAAACCTGGTGTATCAGGATGATACTCTAACCAACTGAGCCACCAGCAAGAGTCCAGTCTTCATTATTCTGAAGGATCCAGAAATCTATAGCCTGACACCATATCTACCCTGTTATGGATCTATAAAGAAGCAATTCTATTAGAAAGTTATTTTGAAGTTTATAGAAACCTATGGTTACTTCTACACCTTTTATCATAATTAACATAGGGACCCAAACTTCTGACGTTAACAGTAGTTCAGCCAAGCCACTGAGTAGATGATATACAGACAAATGAAAATGGACTGCATGAAATATCAGATCCAAGCAGCAGAAAAACAAGGGCGAGGAAGGAGTAAAGGTGTTACACACAAAGAGCCAAGCAGGGCGTACTCAGAAATCGGGTCCTCCTGCCACCAGGTTTGAATGTCACCTGCTCAGATGCACAGTTAAACTTCGCACAGCCTGTGGGAGGGGAGAAACAGGGAAGAACAGAGAGAGAAGAGACAGAACACAACTACAAGATGTTAGAAACTTGAGGCTGGAGTGGTGAAATGCGCTACAATGGCACACAGAAGAACAAGCTTCTAGGGAAAGGTCAAATATACAGGACAGAAAAATTAGGCCTTGATTCCCTCCATCTGCAAAAAGCCGAAGCTTTTCGCAGTGGGAATGCTACCTAGTTTTCACTCTTACCAACAAGTACATTTATCTTGTGAAGAGATAATCCAATTTTAGTATATTGTGACAAAAGTACCTAAGAGCTACTTATCCTTATTTTTTCCGATTCTTTTGTACCCAGACACCCAACTCCCTTCAATGCTTGTTCTAAGGTTACAAAAACTCTTTCCTCTACAGGCATGTTTTGAACAATCATTAATAAACAAAACTATATTTGAAAAGTAGGTAATATACATAAAAAATTGAGTTGTAGGGCTATTCATCTTAGCATGCTACTCCCATACTTAGAAGTGAAAAAAGGCTACACTAGCTAATCCTGCACATTAGCTTTCAGAACTTGCTAAAACTCCTTAGAATTTAGTGCAGAAAATCTAAGTCCAGTCCTAAAGCATAAGTTGCAAATCTCATATGGGCCCTTCATATAGCTCACAGGCCTAGCTGTTTTCCCTTGAGAAGAAGCTATCTCACCTGATAGCAGTGATGAGTGCACCTAGTCTAATCATCACCCTCACCCCTTCAGCCCAAAGATCCTTGGAAGTGCACAGCACACAGGTGAAGCTCTGGTCAACTGGTCTTCTAACTCACGTCAACAACAGGTTACTCATTAGGCTTTTGTCCTGGATAAGGCAGTATTTCCATTTTAATGTTTCTGGAAGATGATGGTTGTTTTGGTCTCTTACCTTGACCTGGAGCAGAAAGGCTTGGTACTGAAATGGCACCCTCACTGGTGAAGGCTGAATAGAGGTTGTCACTGGAGGGAGATGGCTTAAGGGGCTGTAATAGTTGATTCTGCCCCGTCTCTGGGATGTTGCCAGGAGGGTGGAGGGTTTGCTGAGGGTGCAAGACTGAAGCTGCACTCTGACCAGATAGATTACCTGCCAGAAGATAAAGTGGCATGAGAAAACACGCACAGCTTTCCCAATGCACTTAATAGGCGCTGTCCTTATTCCTCCAATTTGTGTCACTGGGTGATTAATGGCATGAGAATCAACAGTTAATAGGGCCATAGGAAACTATCCCGAAACATTTTTAGTTTTAGAAAACCTAAATGGATCACAAATCTGAGCTGAGTAAGATTAGAATATGTAATGAATACGAGAATTCCATTTTGCAGTTCCACAACTGTCTTTTTTCATACCTACTGTACAACAGAGTTGGACCATGATACAAATAGGTTTGGCAAGCAGTGTCTGCTTAATCTGTCTTATAAGCATGTGTCAGATCAAGTACAGAAGAGATGTCAAAAAATGATGTAGATGGCTATGATAAGGCATATTAAAAGAAAAAAATTTTTTTTCTAGTTCTTTATTTTAGAGAGGAAAGGAGAGGGAGAAACACTGATTTGCTGTTTCACATATTTATGCAGTTATTGGTTGATTCTTATATGTGCCCTGACCAGGGATTGAACTCACAACATTGGTGTATCGGGACGATGCTCCAACCAGCTGAGCTACTCAGACAAGGCTAGTAATGCATATTTAATATTATTCTTGGTAGGTGGCCTTCAATCACTAGTCAAGTGTCTTGAAATTGGCTAATCTCTTTGTTCGTTGGTAACTAGTAGAATAAAGGTATACTCCAAAAAATGTAAAATTTGAATTAGAAAAGTTTGGGTCTCAGAAAGCTTCCAGAAAATGGAAAGCTACTAAGAAATTTGCAACTTCTCTCCAACATATTTATATTAGATCTGCAGAGCAAATATGAGGTATAAATTTATTTCAGACTTTTTCACTTTTCAACTAATTATCTGTTAACATTATCATAATTTCACCAAAGGGTAAAAGCTATCAAAATTAAAATAGACCTATAATTCATTATAAGAGATTATAATTTAACTATTTTTTAGTTATAAACACTAGAAAATTCTTTATTTCAACATAGGTAAATGAAATAAAAACTTTAATCAAGGAAATTACCACTAAAGACATAGTCCAATATCTATATGAAATTTACATTCATCCCAGTTGCAGTTATGACCAATCATTTATTGAAAAGAAGAATCTATATGAACTTAGTACTAAGTGCAGATCAATGTACTTTCTTCCAACTGCCCAAGAGTTTGTGGAAATATGAGGTTTCAGTTACCAGGCAAAGCAAAATATTTTATCCTTAAGAACAATTATAAATGAAGACTACCAATAGACAGCAATATAGATTACAATGGCATAGGCCATTGTACTCAACCAGTCTACTTTCGTAGACTAAAAAAGAGGTACTCTAAATATGAGTAGAGAATTCAAGGAATTAAGAATATTAGGAAAGTCAATCATACTCTTTTGAAATTTAGCAAAAACAACAAATGTTTAATAGGTTATATATGCTGCTGGAGACAGAAATAAAAGATGGGACAGCCATGGCTGACCTGGTCCAGGGCTTTTTACCTGAAGGCTGGGGGCTTTTATTCCCCAATGAACTGACGCGACTAGATTTGCTGCCTTTGCTTTTAGTGGGTCGCCTTCTTCTCCCTGAAAGCGGGGCAGCTGGGGGAATAATGACAGCAGGGGGGACCTTGCCCAGTTTGGTATACAAAGATTCAATTTCATGCTTCTGGCGACTCTGCAGGTCTTGAATCTCTTTGAGATGTCTATGAAAGATAACCAAACAAAATTCAAAAATATTAAAACCACCTTTGTTTAAACAAGAATTAACCACATATTCTTTAACCTCCATTCAAGCATTTACTCACTTTTAAATTTTTGCCCCAAATGTACTCAATCTAATTTTTACTACCTTGAGATTCTAGTTTGTCAACTCATCTTGCTGGCCTCCATTACTCAAGCCAAACCCAACAAACTCCCAGTCAACAAATGGTTGATGAGGTGTTGGGAGGAAAAGTATTCCTAGCTTTTGTGGCTATACACAGGAGTACTATACCAGAATTTGCTACTCTGATCCAGTTTGTCAAATATGACCAATAAAATATTCCAACATAATCTACATTGGATTCATTTGGTAGACTAATAAATAGCTAAGATTAGGTTAATAATGACAGAAAATGCTATTAATAAAAAGTAATAATATGGTAACAATAATACAAAGGTACTGAGAAAGCTCTACAACTAGAAATGCTGTGGGTCCTTAAGAGCACAAGAGACCCAATGAGAACAACATTCAGATAACTAGCTTTTCTATCATTTTCTCCTTAATAGAAATGAGACATAAGCATATCACAGTGAAAAGTATACTAATATAGGCACCAGGAGTTAAGCCTTAATTCTGCCATCATTCTTTCATAGAAGAAAACATACTTACTTTTCTCGTAGTCGTCGCAGCTCTAACTTTAAGTCTTCATCTTCAATATCTGACTCGTTGTCACTACTCATGTAAGAGGAGTTGAGTGAGTTACTAAGGCTTTGACTTAGATTTTGGATAGGAAGGCTCCTTGAGCTCAGTTGTTGGGGGGAGCGTGGACTACCTGAACCATCATCCACATCCCTACTTAGGAAGGCAGCTTCCAAGTCAGAAGATGGCCCATTCAGATGTGAAGGCTCTGAGAGTTCAGGCTTTTCTTTCTTTGGTATCACAGCAGGAAGAACAGCTTGTTCCAAATCCATAAAAGGAGGAGATGCCACTGGTCCCTCTTTCTTTGCCTCAGTGATCTTATCTTCAGTTCTTGATACAGAGAAACGACCTACTTTGTCTGCTGTAGTTGTCACCTGAAAACGTCCAACCTTGGTAGGCTGCCCAGTTTCTGACTTTGCTTCTGAGGCAGGAGTTCTGTGGGCACCATCTGGCATATCTGAAGAGATACCATGGATGGCCATCCCATTAGGTCCTGGCTTCACCAGGGTACTCTCTGGACTACTACTTGACAGCACTGAGGACTCTGAAGTGCTGGATTCAAAATGAACAGACTTTGCATCTTCTGACTTATTTTTACCCTCTTTCTGGGTATCATCCATTGCAACTGAAACCTGATAAAAAGAGACCAAAGTGAGATTGAAAAAAAAAAGTTCCCAATATTCAATTTTTAGACTGGACCATAAAAAATAAAAAATAAATTTAAAAAAGGAATCAATTTATTTCCTAGACGTAAGTAGGCTGATTATCTGTTTACATAGTTCCTCCTTAAAAAAAAAGTTTGTATTGCTTTTTTTAGAGAGAGAGGAAGGGAGAGAGAGAGAGAGAGAGAAACACAGATGCGAGAGAGAAACACTAATAGGCTGCCTCCTGCATGCCCCCTACTGGGATGGAGCCCTCAACCCAGGCAAGTGCCCTGACCAGGAATTGAACAGGGACCTCTCTCAGTCCACAGGACGACGCTCAATCCACTGAGCCACACCAGCCAGGTTAATCCCTCCATTTTTTATTATGAAAATAAACAGAATACCATTCATTATAAAAAACATATCTATATTGAGATACACAAATTAGATATAGATTCTGAGTGGCTGGCTAAGCTTACTAAGTAAATTACTTTCATATCTTATGCACAGAATTCACATTCAAATCTTAGTAAAAATATAAATAACTGGTCATGGAATCTTGGGGGTTGCTTGTGAATAAGAAAAACTGCAAAGATGAAATCCAATAAATGTTAAATGCCAGCTAGGTTTTAAGAATCAACACAAGTGCTACCCTCATCTCCAAGTGCTATCATGAGAATGTGAACTGAGAAAAAGGCCTACTATAAAGGGCTCCTGGTGGTTAATTGGGCTCAAAACAAAACAAAACCAGAGCTTAGCAGCCATTTCTACATAGGGGCTCTCAGGCAAACTGTGCCTCAGGGAGACGCCTGCATTGAACCACCTGCCTCTGCACTACGTGCCCACATTATTTCTGTCATCTGAGCCAGCCTTTATAAAAGAGTTCCTGGAATCCTATTCTAACCAATAGGACAGAAGCTTCCCCACCCAATCAGAGCTGAGCAGATATCAACTTCGTCATCAACCAATCAGGGTTGCTCTATTCTGGCCAATTAGGAGAGTTCCTTTTGGACCAAACTATGAGGATCTGTAGTCATATTCTTCATGAGAATGGACCGACCAGGGACCATAGGTGGGGACTTCTGTCTATATGTCAGCTCCCTTCTGGCTCTAGGAGCATACACTTTCCCTTTCCACCAAAGACTGAAAGGTGTGTTTCCCTGGTTGAAGATATCTCGAGGGGGCAGAGTTGACTGGCATGAAGCAGAGCAGACCAGCAAGGAGCAGGGCTGTCTAGCCAGACAGGGGCCAGCCGCAAGGCTGCCTCATAGCCATGCTGTTTTCACAGCCACGCTATATCACAATTGAGCTATTTTGCACTGAATAAAGTTTCCTTCTTCACCACACCCCAAATTGGGGATTCCTGTTGCTGTTGAATTGGTACCAACCACAATCGGTTGAAAAGAATTGGAAAGTAGTTGTTAAAGGAGTAATAAAAATGATATTCAAAGCTTGTTTGGCACTGTATGCTAACAGCCAGAAAATGTTTTCTTGTTGGGCCAACTGGAAAAATAAAATGAAATATCACTTGGTGCTGACCCAGTATTTTAACTTCAGAAATTAATCCTAAAAAGATTACCCTAAACATAGAAAATATTTTTATATACAAAGATGTTTACTGTTATTTTCCTCATGATGCTGGAAAAGCAACCTAATGACTTCATTAGATGGGGGGAAAGCTACAAAATATCATTCAGAGTTCAGAGGAACCAGGGCAATTTTAGGTATACACAAGTACAGGAAAAAATACATACCAAAAAGCAATCCTGGGGAGGGTGGAAGGATAGGCAGATGGTATCATTATCTATTATTTATCTACTGTTCTAAGTATTCCATATTTTCTTTAATAGCATTATTATTTTGAAGAGGGGAAAATATTAAGAGCTATAAAGTTCTATACACAAGAAATATATTATCAAATTGACAATTACCTACCCAAAAGGTAGGTAATAATTATGATAAATATACATTCTCCCAAATAGGGGAATAAAGAAAGGAAAAGTGACTGCCTTACCTGAAATCGCCCCATCTTAAAAACACCAGTTCCCGAACTAGTTGCTTTGACTTGCGACACTGGAATAAATAAATGGAGGAGGAAAAGAACTTAAATTAGCATTCTCTAGTTAGCTTATTTTCCCTTTGGCCAGAAGTATAGCAAAATTAAACTATAGATCAGATGAAAGTTGTTAAAGGCAAGGAAAATTTCCTTACCTCCTTTCCCCCTTAGGCTTTGTCCAACAAGGGGAAAATTATTGTTTGCTCTCCTACAAGATACCTTTAGTATGAAAGATTATATTGTTTGGGAAAAATTGTCAAAGCCTGAAAGTTTACCATTTACCCTTTACCCTTTACCTTTACTTGTACACATGTACGTTGATATGACTGTTTGAAGGAATTAGTTACCTACAGAAGTCCCCCTTTATCCACGGGTTTGCTTTCATGGTTTCAGTTACCCAAGGTAATTTCCAGATATTGAAATTGTGAGAGAGAGAAAACATGCACATAACTTTTATTACACAGTATATTGTTACAGTCGCTCTATTTTTTATTAGTCATTGTTGTTAGTCTCTTACTGTGCCTAATTTAGAAATTAAACTTTATCATAGGTATGTATGTATAGGAAAGATCATAGTATATACATAGTGTTCCATACTATCAGCAGTTTCAGGTATCCACTTGGGGTTTTGGAATGTATCTCCCCACGGAAAAGGGGGGAGTACTGTATAACCAAAGAAGCTTTGCAGCTTAACTACAATATATATTTTTAAAATCCTCACCTGAGGATATTTTTCCATTTATCTTCAGATAGAGTAGGAAGGAGGGAGACAGAGACACAGATACATCGATCGGTTGCCTCCTGCACAACCCCGACCAGGGCCGGGGACTGAACTGCAACAGAGATACATGCCCTTGACTGGAATCGAGCCTGAGACTCTTTGGTCCAAGGGCCCACGCTCTAACTGCTGAACCAACCGGGTGAGGGCAGCTTAACTACAATATTAAGAGATACTGTAAAACTAAGGTTAACAGGCAGTTATACTCAGTTATTCATTCTTTAACTCAAAGAGATAAACAAATGAAGGAAACAATGAGATTTTACCTAGGATATTAAGACCCATTTTTAAATGCAAATCAGCTACACAGAAAGGAATAGGGTTCAGAATGGCAAGCCTCAGAGGAGGGGGGCAGGGGTGGGGTGGCGGATGGTTGAAATGAACCAAAGAATTTATATGCATCTATGCGTAACCAATGGACGCAGACAACAATGCGGGGTTGGGGGGGTGTCTATGAGAGGAAAATGAGAAATATCTGTAACAAAAATAAATTAATAAAAATGGAAAAAACAAATTAGGCACAGTAAAAGATTAATAATAGCTAATAATAAAATAATTATAACAATATTCTGTAACAAAAGTAAAAAAAATAATAAATGCAAATCAGCTATGGCAAATTGGTTAGGCAACACTTAAGCAAAATCCTAGAACAGGACAGTAAAGGTGCTAGAATCATTAATATGTAGTTCTGAGTAACTTTAAAGCCACCTAGGTTCTCTCCAGGGACAATTACTTGTTCGAGTTTCTTTCTAGAAATAATATACAATCTATCGACACTGGCATTTTCCTTATTTCACACAACCAGTAGAATACTGATTTTGGTATTTTCATTTAATGCTATAACTTAGAGATCATAAAAACGTTTCATTGTTTTTTTCTTATTCTTTTTTTTTTTCTTTATTGATTTCAGAGATAGGAAGGGAGAGGGAGAGAGAGAGATAAAAACACTGATAAGAGAGAACACTGATTGGCCACTTCCTGCATGCCCCTCACTAGGGATCAAGCCTACAACCTGGGCATATGCCCTGTTCAGGAATCAAACCAGCGGACTCCTGGTGCATGGGTCGATGCTCAACCACTGAGTCACATCAGCTGGGCAATGTTTCATTCTTTTTAACGGCTGCACAGTGTTGTACTTTATATACGTAACATATATAGATATGACGTATTTTAAAACACGGTACCACATTTTAACCAGGTTTCTACTGATGAACATTTAAGTTATTCAAACTTCTTGCTATTATAAAAATGCTCTAGTAAATATTTCCTTATAGATCTGTGGAATAAATACCAAAGTATGGAAGTGTCAAATCATTTCCATTTAAAACTTTGACATACATAACTAAATTTATTTTCAAAAAGGCTGTACCAAGTCACCGGTGGCATTACACTTTTCAGTTTACAATGAAAAATGGGAAGTGCTATCATTTGTAGTTTTACTTTGCATTTCTGCTATCATAAAGAAAGTTAAGTATTTTCATACCTATGTTTCTTTTTTCTGTATCTTTTATTTTTTGGTTCATGCTTAATTTATAGAACTCTTTATATTAGCAAAGTAGCCCTTTATGAGATATGAATACATGCACACACATACATTTCCCAGTTTTTCATTTATCTTTGGACTCAATGGCATGTTTTTTCCATGCAGAAAAACTTAAATCTATTACCACTTCTGGGCTGGGTACTAAGAACAGAAACATTTTTCTCTATATATGAGAGATCAGCAAGCTACAATGCATGAACCAAGTTCAGTTCACTGCTTGTTTTTGAAAACAAATTTTATTGGAGCACAGCAAAACTCACTCATTTATGTACTGTCCATTGCTGTTTTGGATCTACAATAGATTTGAGTAGTTGTGACAGAGACTATATGGCTGGCAAAGCCTAAAATATTTACTTTCTGGCCCTTTACAGAAAAAAGTTTGTTGAACCTGTTCTAGACAGTTAAAAAGGAAAATATTCTTTTTGTCTCCTAAAGTACCACTTTATGGTATAATTTTTCATCTGTGATCCATTTGGAATTTATTTTGGTCTAAGGCTAATGATCACTGCTTTTTTTCCAGATGGCTGTCCAGTTGTCTAAAACCATTTACTAAAATACCCCATCACTTTCTCTATGATTTAAGGCCACCTTTCTCATACTCTATATTCCCTTGTAGTCTTTCTATTTCTAAACTGTATCATTTGTTCCAGTGATTTTCAAGTCACTTATTTTAAAACAAGAAAGCCAATTCCCTTGAAAATATTTTGAGAGGTTTTAAGTGAAATTTAGCATTTAAGAAGGACAGGAAGAAGTAAGAGCATTCAGGTTATATGGGGAAGTACATTTATGTCAGGTATTGAGAATAGATATATTATAAAAGGGAAAATTAATAGTAAGCATGTGCTATACAAAAATCATATTGCAAAAGTATAGCTCACATTAAAGTATTTTCACTTTTAAACTTGATTCTGAAGGAAAAGGCAACAAAAAAAAAATGGAATCTTTAAATTTCCCAGGTTCTTGATTGATGATTTAGTGAAGAGACTTACTACAAAACTTCAGAACAGCAGTAATTGATATGAACTTATGGCTAAGGACATGATGATAAAAGTCCTAATAAAATATTTAAGTTGCTGATAAAGATTATTTTTACAAATTAAGTTGGAAATATGCCTTACTAAAGAGATTATATTTTATGGACATGCTAATTTTAATGACTCTAAAAATATATTAAAATAATGCTTAAACTGATTAATTGAAATATTTTACAACTGTATTTCTACCATCTATGCTATTCAAGTTTATTTCTATCTCTATACATTCAGTGACACAAAAGCCAAGAAGTTATCAATAAATTAACTGTTATATATGCTTAAATCTCATCTCTCTTAGCAAGGAGATAGCCTAGCCAATAACAAAGGGCCTTATGCTAAGAAACTATCATTACCCTTTACATGCTCTTCCTAAAAAAAACACTAAAAGATTTATTAATTTGCTAATATTACATGCTCTGGATATTAGTATCAATAGTCCTTGGTCATGAAATACATAAAAATAACAGTCTCAAGTACACCCACATTCTCAAGAATGTGTCTTTGAAATAATAACCTTTAAAAAATCAGTTATAGGGAGGTTTGGAAGTGATCATATAAGAGGAAGAAGGATGCTTCTCACCATCGTTCTGAGGCCGTGCTCCTGCTTCTGTAACTGATGTTGGAGCCGCCACGGACACAGGCTGCAAAACACACACACACAGATACCACAAAATCTTTAGCTTCAGTCACTCTTAAACTTTTGTCCTACTGCCTTTCCTCTGGCCTTTATAAAGGGCAAAAAGAAAGACAGCATATGTGAAGAAACACTTATGTCTGAGGGAATTTTCTTTTTTATTTAACAGCCCCAAAATAAGTCTAATGTAAAGAAAGAGATTTTAAAGAAGAAATTGAGTCTTAACCCTTCTATATTGCTTACTTAATTTTTCTCATGGCATACTTGAGCATAACTTGAATATACATAGAAAAGTAGTTTAATCAGATTATTGTATCACATGCCTAAAAGAAAGAAGTTAAAACTTCAAATAGCTTCCTTCAAAGCATAAATACAAAATCCATATGAACTGATCTGTGGTATAATTTTAACCAGAGATAAATAAAAGTATCTTTCAAATCAAATCTTTGCCAGTTAACTCTGGGTCAGTGCTAATTTTTCATTAACCTGTCTCATTTCTGTTTACTGAAATAAGCAGAGACTAAACAGGTGTTCAAGGTATTAATGGTCTAGGTTATAGTTTATGTTCTAGGACTGTAATATATTAAGGTTATCAAGATTTTCAAAACTTACACCAGCTGTAGATGTCACCGCAGTAGTCTCTGGACTAAGTGCTCTTCTCAATTGAGCATCAAGATCTTCCAGAGGTTGCTGGAACGAAATGAAAACAATCACAGTAAGTATAGGTCTTTGGCATATTCAGAGCCCCTACATGTAGCCCATTTATATAGGACATACTGTTTTACGCTTCATATTGACATGACATAACATGTCTATTCACTGAATATAAAACAATATACTAAGTTCAACTTAGTTATAATGCTTGATTTCTCAGTCTCTCAAAATTTTATGTCAACCTCTTAAGCCTTAGAGAAACGGTTACATTTATGTTTGTACAGTTTCTAAGTCTTCTTTCTTACCTTTTTGTTTAATGTTAAAGTGACAGAAAAGTTGTCTATTTGTTCTTTCCTTAAAAATACATTCTGAAAAATATATCAAGATCTATTGGTAAATTAATTGTATCACGTTCCCTATCTTCTTTTTCAGTTTGGTACATCTTTCTGAGAACATGTCCTTACAAATAAAAGATGACATTAATATATTCTGTCACTATCAAGGAATACAGTAAAATCTCAATATAACAAACTAATTCAGGCAAGTGGGTATCATTTAAGCTGAGTCCATTATATAATTAAGTAGGTTTTCCAAACACGTATGTTAAAAAAAATGACAAATTAGTTTACCTGTTTTTACTTATGTAGACATGTTTATGTCATTAAAATTAAGTATGTATGAAAAGTTTAATTACAGTAATTTTAAATTTATATTGAATAGGTCTAGTAAACGTGTACATTCAGTAGTCACTATGAGTGAACAAATGCACATGGCTGCAGTGTGGCTTAGTGGTGTGGGAACACCAGCCAACACTCACTGAAACTGCTGCAGAAAGTCATGCCACACGACAATAGAACCAATTTCCTCGCACAATGCAGTGTCATCAAGTGTTAATCATTTGCTGAACGTGTTTACAAGTGGTGACTCTTGACTATAGTTGTAGATATGTAATATTTATTTATGTTGGAAAAATTATTACAGTGTTTTTTTTTTCCAACATATGGCCTAATCATTAAAACTTGTTAAAAATAACAGCGAATTAATAACAAAAAAATTAATTACAGGCAAATCTTGGTTAAAAGCATGTTAAAATTAACAGGGCATTAATTTTCACATATAACTTATGTACTGGAAATTCTGTCCATTAAATCTAGGTTCACAAAATTGAGGTTTTACTGTATTATTCTTTTCTTAAGGTCTTTGTTAACAAACTACACTCTTATACCCATCCTAAAGATGGCAGCAAGGAGGAAATGGAGGTCTGAGTATTCTGTCTTTTAACCAGGCCTTATTACCATCCACCCCAAGGCCATAACTTTTGCCCTTTGCCACAGTTTCTTTTTTATTCCTCACCTGAGGATATTTTTCTATTTATCATCAGATAGAGTGGGAGGGAGGGGGAGAGAGAGAGTGAGAGAGACAGAGAGAAACATTGATGTGATAGAGCCACATTGACTGGTTGCCTCCTGCATGACCTGACCAGGGCCAGGGACAAACCACAACCGCAGTGCCCTTGACCAGGCCCTGTGCCCTATGGCTCATTGGTCCCTGGGACAACACTCTATCCACTGAGCCAGACCAGCCAGGGCCCTTTGCCACAGTTTCCAAACTTCCATTTATCTTGGCTTCTATCAACCTATTCTTATGGTCTTTACGTACATTTTCCCCTGTCTATAGGTAGGTACTATCCACTTACCCCTCCACAAGCCTTATTGCTGTTTCTCATCACACTTAGAGCTCTCTTAGGAATTTGAATACATGTTTTTAATGAGAAAATAGGTTTAAAACTCCCAATTTACAGGCTTGCATATGCCTTCCCCCCCCCCCCCCCAAATTTAGTGGCTGATGGAATAGATTCTCTGCTGGAGTTATTATATTCTACTGTATATTTGGGATTAAAGAAGTAGAGATAAGTTCAGACTTCTCAAATTAGCAATTTACTATGTTTTTCTTATATATAATTCTAAAATATATCCCTAATTTAGTTTCAATGTTTACTAGGCTTGACCCACACAGAGCCTTTTCATGGTTACAGTGAATGCATAATGAATATTTCCTATGGGAATTCAACTAAATGTGTAGGGTGGAAAAGGAAAGAAGAAGATACTGCAGGCAATTCCGACCACCATCCTACCCAATAGGCAGAACTGAGTATGTGATAGGAATCTCACATTCAAGCCAGTGGTCTCAGTTTCTCTATGAGAAATCTCATGTCACCTGAGCTATGTGATTTTTGTCTTTAAAGATATAACCTATTTTTCTCATGAAACGTCACCCTTTATATCCACCTATTATGTAAGCCAATTCCTTAATTAGGTGATCATTAAAAGAAATGTCAAATTCAAGAAAAAACTGGTTTTACTAAACTCACAGAAAAACTCATCAATTATTATTATGGTACCCTTTTCTAAGAAACTTTCAAATTTAATTTTGTTTACATGTAATTTTTTATTTCCATGATGATCTAGAAGAAATTATCTCAAACTTAAGATGCAATTTCACTATTCTACTAAAGTGTGAATGAGAGAAGGAGTTATATTTGTCGGGCAATATGTCAACTTGGCCATTTTCTTCCTTCGTAAGATATAAAAGAAAATTAATATTAAACGTTTCCTGGATGGCCCAGCCAGTGTGGCTTAGTGGCTGAGCATCGACCCAGGCACCAAGAGGTCACCGGTTCAATTCCTGGTCAGGGCACATGCCCAGGTTGTGGGCCAAATCCCCAGTGGGGGCATGCAGGAGGCAGCTGATCGATGTTCTCTCTCATCGATGTTTCCATCTCTTTCTCTCCCCCCCTTCCACTCTCTCTAAAATCAATAAGGAAAAAAATAAAATAAAAAAATAAATGTTTTCTGGATGACTTAAAGCAATATTACAAACTAAAGAACTATGAAGCTTCTTACTTTAAGTAGGGCTTGGGTCATTAGCTACACTGTTTTAAAAGAAAGTTGTTAACCAAACAGAAGTCAGAAGCCAAGATCCCACAATGGAGAATTTAAATAAGTTTTGTGAAAGAAAATATGGGCACAAAAAGAAATCTGCCAAGTCTTGGGGCACCTGAGTTAGTGAAGGTCCTGGAAGAGGTGGCAGCTGCTCACTGGATGGAATACCAGCTAGAAGATCCGTACCCACTGGCAGCACCTATAGAAAATAAAGGGAAATTCGAGTCTATGAGATACTAAGATGTAAAGATTGCATACCAGAGAACAAATCAACTAATTCAAACTCCAGAAGCATAAGAATAACATGTATCTAATCTAGTTAAGGCATGCTTGTCACCTAGGTTACTCTCTGGTATCTATCTTAAATAAAAGACATTATATGATACTATTACAGGGGTAACTGTGACATACCAATAAAATGAACGGTAAAATTTAATAAGGTTATTCTCTAGGGAAAATAGAAAGAACAAAGATTGTGTGGACATGAGAGGCACAGTTCAGATATTTTTGAACCACTGACTGGGTACAGTATAATCAGGCTTTTTCAAAAACAAATAAGACTTTTCTGAGAAAACTAAACAGTTCAGAAATAACCAAGGGGCAGGTCTGATAACAAAAGGCACCAGAAATCCAATACTATCAAGTAATTTGTTTTTTGTTTGAGTGAATCCTCTATATTACCCTACTGTAAAAACAATCTCACATCAATGGCAACGCATACAATATAGTAAAGAAAAAGTACAGTCCTGTTACTTGGAGAATATCAGAGAGACTAGAGATGGCAGAATGAAAGGAAATCCACCAAAGCAGAACTAGAAAACACCTTGTAGTTATTTTATTCCTAGGATTAGATTCATTTCTCCTCCTTTGTATCAAATTTATTACCAACTTCTAATTTTTTATAAACCCTATATTGTACATGTGTAGAGTCTAAGCAAAGCAGAACATTTGCTGCATTCTCATTAAAATGAAGATTATGAACTGCTGTTACTATGTATAAAGCATTTAGCTCTCTTTTGGGATACAGATTCCTTCATTTTGTACCAATTAGGAAGAAATGCCTAATTTTACTTATTATAAATTCTTAGAAAATCATGCAGTATAATCAACCCCAAAATCCTACTATATTTCAAAAGGAAAAATATCTCATGTTCAATGTACATATACCCTACAATCACCTTCAATCAATTTAATAAATACCAAGTGCCTACTATCAGCTAGCTATTTTTATAATTTAATTTGTAATTTGCAAGGCTGAGCTGAAAAAAATGTACTTATTAGAAGGCAAAAGAGTGGTCATACTTATCAAATTATTTCAAAGCAAGAATCTTACTGGAGCCTTCGTTAAAGGTGGTTTTGATGGAGCAGTTCCAGGTTTCACTCCTGGTGTAGTGCTGACCGAGGCTGAAACATAGCTGACTGGAGCAGAAACTTGCCCAGGTGTGACCACTGGTATGACTGGCAAACTAGTTGTTCCTAATGGCAAACTGGTTGGTGGTAAGCAAGTACTTGTAGTTGAAGTCATGAGTTTGCTGGGTGCAACAGCAGTGGTTGGGATGCCTGGCGTGACATTGGTCTCTACTACTAGTGATGTGTCCAGTGAGACAGAGGCATGTTGAGTTCCAGAAGAGCTGTGTTCACTAAAGAGAGACCGCAGCTTTTCCTCTAGAGTCTTTATGTCATCAATCCCAGGAGCTTTGGGCTGTGTATCAGCATCTATTTCAGGACAGTGTGTATGAGGCTGGTTGGGAAGCAAAGCTGGTTGAGGATGACTATGAATTAGTGTCTGCTGTACAGCAGGCACACTGGCAACAGACTGTACCAAGGGTGGGATAGTAGGTACTTGGGGTAATAAAGGTGCAGAAGTAGGTCCTGCTGCTTGGGGAAGGACAGGAATAGAAGCTACAGCTGAGGGAGCTGTGACCAAAGGATGTACCCCACCAGGTTGAGAAATGGTAGATATTCCTGCTCCAGAGGAAGAGGAAGATGATGCAGAGAGGGACAAAGCCAATCCAGTTGTACTGCTATGAGATGTTTTATCAAGTGAGTGTGCACTAACCACCACTGTTTCAGCTAGAGTAGGAGCGGAGGTGCTGCTGCTAAGCTGAACAGATGGCTGTGAAGCTATGCTTGGGAATGGAGTAGTGGTAGAAACTGAGGTTAATGCAGCTGCCCCTGTAGTACTGCCTGCTGACTGCTGAGATAATACAGGTGGAAGCTTAGCCCCTGGGGCAGCAGGACTGCCCACTGCAGAGGCTGAAGTTGTTGAAACTGTTATAGAGGGGGAAGTGCCTATACTAGAAACAATGCTCCCAGATGTGGAAGCCTGAACTGACTGGGATGTTGCTGATGTTGAGACAACTGTAGGTACTGTGATGCCTGAAACCACGCTGGAAAGTACTGGTGATTCTTCAGACACAGGTGGTACAGGGAGATCACTTGAAGTTACACTTGTGTAGGTGGCAATCCCTTTTTCAGTGGGCACTGTAATCTCAGACTGAATTACTGATGTGGAAATGTCATTAGGAGGGCAGCTAGTTACAGGGACTGATCCTGAAGTTGTGGCTCCTGCTGTGGTTGAGACTCCAGCAGTGCTACCCATGGAAGGAGGTACTACTGGGAAGGTTGGTCCTGAATGACTAAAGTTGGGAGGTGCTGTACTGGGTCCTTCTGTCATCTGGGTATTTTTAAGTTCAGAAAAGGCCTTCTGTAGACTAAGGGATGAAGCAGAGTGAGACAAGTTCATTCCAGCACCATGAGACGTAGAGGCGGCAACTGCGAAGGAAAATAAAAAATTCAAAATTAGTACATTTTTAAAGGGTTGATTCAAAAGATTGTCCTAACAATCTATTTTTGGATTACCAACAATATCACATACCAATAAGGTTTAAAACCTGTCCCAAGGAAATGATAGGCTCTAAAACAGCAAAATAGCTTGATCAAAGTAAGTCAGTGTATACGAATATCTATTTCTGGAAAAAAACATGAAGTAACCTCAAAGCATATATACTCCTACTAAATGGAGAAACACATATTACTGTATTTACACAGTATCTATTACATGGGCTGCATCTAGTAAATGGCTGTCCTTTCTGACTCTTTTTCTTTAATCTTTTCTATTCATCACCTATTTCCTTCCTTTATACATTTATCTGTTGGTTATAATCCCAATTTTCTACTCTTCTTTATTGTCTATGTCATCATTTGAACTACTGCTAGATAACCAAGCTTCCAATATAGCAGAGATGCTGTAGAATGTATAGAAGTATGTGATAGAAGCAATTCCTTACCCGTATCTGATATTTCACTGGTGAAAACATTTGATTCTCGTAATCGACTTTCTGGCACAGGACTCACTATAAACCGTCTTCCAGCAGAATGAACAACTTGAGTTAAAGAACTGGCAGGAATTCCTGGTTTAAAATAAACAAACCACTTAATTGCACTTTTGAAAAAAATTGTTGAAAGTATATATTGTCACTGACATAAAGATTTCAGATTTCATTATTAGTATAAAACTTTTTCAGTCAAAGGTAAGAGCAAACATGGAAAGAAAAGAAATTCACCTATTTGTTGTGGCATGGAAGATGCAGGAAGTGGTTGTTTGAACTCGCCTTCCAATTTCTACAACAAACAAAAGTAATTCAATTCATTCTCAAAGGTAATCTGAATTAGGCAAAGCAAAAGGCCACATGCCAAGAGAATATAAGTGTTTGATAATCTTAGTCAGAGGTGTAATGATATCTCTGGACACTTCACATGGTAAATTATATTTTAAATAAACAAACCTTTACTATGGGAATGGTGAACCTACCTGAGAACCTGAAAAGCCATAGTCATCCTTTTCCTGTAGACTCTCCAATCCCTGGTCACCCTCTGGTTCCACACTGACATCCTCACTGAGCATTTCATCAGCTTTTTCAATAATTTCCCGCACTTGATCCACGAAAGACTCTCTCTCTATTGCTAGAATAAAGTCATTGTTCACCTGTAAAAGAAATGTGATGTCAGTCTGATTAGTACAATGTTTCTTAAGCTTTAAGTCATTCGATCACCAATTTCTTGACTTCTGCCTTATCTACATGCCACCTATAATACTATCCACTTGATATGTAAGTTCTTCAATACTAGTTGGACATATCCTAGACAAAAACATCCTAAATCACAGGTTTGGTGTACTAGTTATATTCACATAGAAATAAATGCATGTCAAAACAGATGACAAAATACTGTATATATGCCTAGGGCAGTGGATATTTAGATCAAATACTAAGGCAAAACTGGAACTCAAATGGAGACGTACCATAATAGTTGCTATCTCCTCGGGGTTGTCACCATCTAAATCAAATTTGAATGTAACCATTTTCCGATTGTGAGTCTCTAATTGACATTCTACTACCCGATCTCCTTTATTTGAAACCTAAAAAGAAAAAAGAAAAGGTACTTCGTATCTCAGAAGACTATATTCACTTTTGTTACTGAACTTGAGAAAGTAAAGAAGATTATCACTTGAAGTTAAGCCTGATGGTTACTACTACTCCTAGCACTGGTATTCTCTCTCTTAAACTGGTAGCAAGAAAACCTTAAAAAAGAAAAAAATCAGCCTTTGAGATGCATACGCATCTTCCACTGAAGAGTTTGAAAGAAATGTAAAGTCTTTATTTTACAAATTAAAACTGTTCTTTTTCTAAAAGGTAAATAGATCCTTATCACAGAAATATTGAATTTAACAGTATCATTTGAGTGATCAGAAGATCCTACATTTCATCAATACATCGGAGCCTTAGAAATATTTAAATAATATTCACTGTATGAAACCCACAAATCAGCAATACTTACATTCAAAATTCTCAATTTTGGGCGCGAAGTCTTTTCATGACGAGAACGACTTCTTACAGATTTTCGATAATGCCGTTTTGTAGTTCTCCCTTCATGCCTTCCACTGGATGATGGGACATTCTCATTGCCATCACTCATACCTGACGCAACATCTGAATGTGCACTTCAAAAAAAAGTTCAGTTTATAATTTGAGTTAAAGTTTTGATAATTTGAAGTTTCATACTATCCTACCTACCAGTCAAAGATAGAGAATTTTACTTTTACATACCTGTCTATAGAAGAGACCAAAGTGGTAGGCTGGGTAGGCTGTGGCTGTGCTACTGAAATTGGCTCTGGAGGAGCAGCCTGAGAGACTCCCTGAGTACTCTGTGAATAGAAAGAATAATTTAAAATCCTGGCAGTAATAGATGTATTATTATTCACCATTCCCAAAATGCTACTTTTTTTCCTTTCTTATCCCTCCCGTAAGTCTTAGAAGCATTAAATTTACTAGTAATTTTCAATATTCAGCAAATAGAGACAGTGGTCTTAAAATTCCAAAGGAAGTTTCTAAAGCTGGTATCTGGTATAGACTGCATGGTGTGATACTAGCCAACATAGTTGCTAAGTAGTGAGAAACTACAATTTGCCATGCAGTCAGCATCTTTCCAGAAGTGTGCAATAGGGCAGGCAGAGCAAAGTGCAAAGATGATTCAGATCTTTCTCCTAGTAGGGCAAAAATGATTACTGGGAGCACAGCAGGATAAGATATTCTTACGACTGCCAATGGCAAGAATTTGTGAAAGGAGAATAATGGCTAAAGTACTAGCTAGAGAAGTGAAGTGCTAATAGGGTTAATCTTCTCCAAGGCACACTCACTTCCCAACAGAACAGCCAGTGGCAACAAGGCCCCCACAATGGCATTTCATTCTGCTGTAAGAAAAAGTCATTCAGAAGTTAGTTTGAAATCATCTCCAAATGAGTTCTAAACCAGGAAACCTATGTTTCTCCTTTGTAATTTTTATTCCATTAGGTATATGTTTTAGACATAAACATGCAGAAATTCCATTTACCTCCAGAGCTGCTTGCTGGGAGGATGTAGTGGGGGCTTGTGCTAAACTCACTGCTGGTTGGGACACTTGAACCTGTCCTCCTATACTGCCCACAGGAACTAAAAGATTTGATTCCATATAAGGCTGCACCACTGTAGGAAAGTAACCTGGTGTAGCTAATGCTTCTGTCGGCATGGGAGGGGATAAGACTGTAGAAGGAATGCAAACAGAAGCCACGCTGGAAGAGGGAGCAATATTTGAATCTCCTGGGTATTGTGGTGGCAATCGAGGTGGGAAGCCCTGTGACAGAAACGAGGAAGGTGAGTTAGTGCAGGTCGGGTCATCAAATTAGCAAAACAGCAGCGAGACATGCAAAAACAAACAAACAAAACAAAACAAAACAAAAAGAATGCACATAGTAAAGAAGAATAGTAGCCACTCTTTTCCTAATCACTTAAAGATGATTATTGATATGAAATGATAGCCTGATTTCAATTTAGGGGACAGGACTCTACAACTGTACTTAAGTTGCTGCTGTTGTCCCCCCCCCCCCCCCCGGAGATTATTTAAATACTAGGAATAGACATAATTCCTTCTAGCCATTTTTAAATGGAAGAATACAAAAGCTCTTCAAGGTGTCAGTCATTCCAGTCATATCATGACCTGCTAATCTAAATCCAAACCCTGATGCTTTTTACTGATACTATGTTGGCTACTCTTATTTATTCTTCCTATTAGAAAAGCAGCCTGACGTACTCTTTTAGTAGCCATATCCAGCATTCAGTTGGCTTATACTGAGTCTTAAAGGGAACCATTTTTCTCCTAAGAGGTGTTTTGAGAAAAATGGAAATGAATCATTAGGCATAATCATGCTATCCTTTCTCAGAATTTTACTACTTTAGCTTCTCTAGGTGAGATCAGCAACTATTGTTATTGCTAATTTTTCTTATATTCAACTACTAGATTTTTCCAGTCCTTCATGGTCTACTATTAGAACCAACGTTCTGGTGCCCTCCCTTTTTGCTAGCCAACACAATACCTGGTACAGAACATCTCCAGAGGTAAGTGGAACCTCAGCAGCTTGTCCAAGGTTAGCTGGTATTCCCATGGACTGAACTGCTGGCTGCAGAAGCTGTGGGTGAACCTGACTTGGCAGCTGAGCCACAGGCTGCAGAAGGGTTGGAAGCTGACTAGAAGCCACAGTTGATCCCCCTGGGATCGCAGCTGCTGTAGCCGATGAAGCCAAGGTGAGCAGAGGCTGATTAATGCCAGCTGCAATTGTCATGGGAAGGGTGGAGAAACCTGTCTGAGCCGCAGACACATGAGGAGCTGATAAAGGAATTTGAGAGACAGAGTACTGAGAGAGTAAGGAAGGAGGGAGTGGCTGTCCCATAGGGAGGAAATGAGCACCAGAATGGACTGGAACAACTGAGGGTTGTGTTGCAACTGGGATCTGAGGTTCGCCTTGGATAGTTGGTGCTGGCTGGGAAACTGGAAGCTGAGAAGGTAAAGAAAAACAAAACAGATAGATTTAAAAAAAAAAAAAAAAAAAAAAAAAGGCAAAGCCACCAAAAGCAAGATTTATATATTAGCCAAAAAGAATGAAAATTTAAAAAGAAACCCTGCATACATTAGTGTAAGTTAATATGCCACATAAAAATAGGGAAAGGATAGCAGGGTACAAAGAGGCCGATACACTGGCTACTGCTCCAAATCTTTGTAGAAAAGTTGGCTAATGCTTCATTATTCAATAAAAAGAATGACCCTTCCACAGACATTTTTGTTTGTTTGTTTATAGCTTTGAGATCTTTTCCATACCATAATTCATTGATATGTTTGCTGTCACTAAATTGACTGCTATTACAATAGTTACCAAAATTCAAATAAATTTCTTTCTTCCCAATGGAATTAGATTTCATCTATACTGCCTGTAATACAGGCCTATAAAAGTAAGTATAATTACCATATTTCACTGATTCTAGGATGCAATCATCCCTCTCCACCACCTTGTCATTTTAACATTTGTGAAACTGAGATATAGCTTACAATTTTAATGGTGTGCCAGTACTTAGTGATACATAAAATGATGGTTACTTTTACAATTGATAGTATCTCAGAGCAAAAAGCATGACAGAAACAATACATTGTGCCAAAATACAAGCACAACAAGCCCCAGTGTTAAAGTTGAAAAAAGGTCATTCACAAGAGTTTACCCTCTACAGGGCACTTTTCAAGTAATTGGAAGGCCATCTTGGAAAAAACATCATTCTTGTATAAGGGATTTTTATGACTTACTGTCAGTAGGTAACGAGGGACAAAACAATGCATAAATCTACATGAAAATACAGCATAGTTGCAGACCTGGAATATTAGTTATGTAGCTGACACAATTTTGGAAAACGTCACATTAATGCATTAGTTCTACCTCTTGTCAATAAACCTAAAAGTTAAACATTTTTAAATGTTACTGTTCCCAGTATGTATCCATTTACATTAAACAATACATATGCACAAAAGGAACAATTTGTCACTTCATTTTTGCAGAAAAAATAACCAACTTCAATATTTCACCATCAGAGACAGTAGAAGCCTATCCACATGAAAGGACAGTTACATGAAGTTCCCTTTTAGCATACTTTTAGAAATTAAGTGTTTACCTGTTTTCCAGCTGTTACTTGAGGCAACACCTGTGGAGCCTGAGGCTGACTCACTGGCTGTGCAGTAGTGGCCTCACTGGAGGTTGATGTCTGTGGAAGTGAATACTGCACTGTCTGTTGAGGGGGGGCTGTCTGCTGTATTCCCTGCTGCTGGGAATAAAATATTCAGTTTTATTTCAAGTCATTAATAGCATGTTTTTAAGGAATTACGTTTGCCTAAGGCTTTCAGTGTCTTCAGATGATGAAGATTTTAATAATCAAGACATACACAAAGTCATCAACTCCCCTTTATATTTCTCCTTTGCCTCTGGAGTTCTTTACTTGTGATGGTACCACCAAGAACTAACCAATGTTTAAACCTGAGTCACCACTGGCTCTTCATCCAACATTCCATTCCCTCTTGCCTCAATAGCAGGTCTTTTATAAAGATATTTGGATACTATGTCCAAATAGGTATTCCCTCCTCCACCCAACTCCCCCTTTTGTCTTATTTCTTGGTATCAGTTCTCACTTTGGTCCTCAATTAAACTAAGCCAATCTCCTCCTCTAATCTCTTTCCATTAATCTATTTTATAAACTGTATAATTAATTTACTTGAAAAATAGCTCTGATTATAGCTCTGATTACAAAATAGTGAGAAAAGCACTGTATTTGGAAGTTTAGCTTTATCAATTACTAACTATAATATCTTAAGAGATTGTTCATTTTACTACCAAAATAAAGTTTCCTTCTTTGAAAATAAGGACATGGTCACTCAGGTCAAAGCAGGACAATGGGAATAACATTTGGGAATCAACCAAGTGCTGGGCACTCTGGTATAACACACCTAAACTTAATGCATGACACATAATCATACCCAAATACTAAATTTTGTTATAAATGGCCCCCTTTTGTGTAACAAAAATCTGAACTTCATAGCTGATTTTCAAGATTTTCTAATATCTATAACTAAGTTAAAAAAGTTAATACAAAAACAATACCTATTTATAATAAAAATTTTAATCAATACATCAGATTATAAAGTTAAGTGAAAATACCTCAACCTCATTTCTCAGTGGCAACCACTATTAGTGGTTTGGTGCAACATCTTTATGATTTTTCTTTATTAAAACAAAAACATGTCTATTATATAATGTTCTCCAACATGTTTTCATTTCATGCCATCAATGTCCTAATGATGAATATTTTTGTTGATTTTTAAGCAAAATAAAATCACCTGTGATCATGTTCATTTTATTCTTATTTAATTATTTTTGATAATGTATTCTTTTTTTAAATATGTTTAAAAATGTTTTTTATTAACTTATTTTTGTTACAGATGTTTCTCCTTTTCCCACCAATCCCACTCCCAGTATTGTTGTCTATGTCCATGGTTACGCATACATGCATATAAGTTCTGTGGTTTCTCTCTTCCCACCCCCCGCCCTCCTCTTCTGAGGTTTGTCAGTCTGTGTACCCTACTTCTGTGTCTCTGGATCTATTTTGTTCATCAGCTTGTTTTGTTCATTATATTCCACAAATAAATGAGATCATGTGGTATTTGTCTTTCTCTGATCGGCTTATTTCGCTTAGGATAATACTCTCCAGGTCCCTCCATGTCTTCTCAAAGGACAAGAGATCTTTGTTACAGCTGCATAGTACTCCCCTGTGTATATGTAACACAGCTTTTTTGTTGTTGTTTTTTCTCCTCACCTGAGGACATTTTTGCTCTATCTTCAGATAGAAAGGAGGGAGAGAGGGAGGGAGAGAGAGAGAGAGAAACATGGACGCGAGAGAGACACATCGAGTGGCTGCCACTCATATGACCCCAACCACGGCTGGGGACAAATTGCAACTGAGGTACGTGCCCTTAGCGGGAACCGAAACTGGGACTCTGGTCTGCAGGCTGATGCTCTAACCACTGAGAAACCGGCCAGGGCTACCACAGCTTTTTTATCTACTCAATTTCTAATGGACACCTTGGCTGTTTCCAGATATTAGCAATTGTAAATAGTGCTGCTATGAATATAGGGGTACATATATTCTTTCTGATTGGTGTTTCAGGCTTCTTAGGGTATATTCCTAGAAGTGGTGATTTTTTTTGTGTGTACAATCACATTGACTAATAATAAACACATCAGCCAACCAGGTATTGTTGAGCACAGTAGCTTGGCCCCAGCTTCGCATAAACTTGCCTCATGAAACCAGTTTAAGACAGCCTATCCTGACTGTACTATCTCTTGGACATGGGGGCTAAATAAAATAATTTAAAAAAAATTCATGAACCTTAATTCAGGTAAGAAATATCCGAAGACTCTACATATGTTCCATAGAAGAAATTATTAAGTAGGGTAGCTCATGAGCTTTTTTGTGGCAACAAACTAAGTCTTCCAGTAGAAAGAAATTATTTTTAGTACCTAATACCACTAGAATAGACTCAACAAAAACATGAAAAAAGCAACCCTTTATTCATTATATTTCAGAAACTCATGAAATAAAGTAAATTTCAGCTAAAATACATTTCTTGCCTGGTTCTAATAAAACTAGAGATATAATTTCCTAAGGGGTTGTGACCTGACTATGTAAAACAAAAATCACATCTAAAATGGACTCTACCCATATCGTACAGAAGGTTTACAATATTTCTTTTTTTAATTTGTGGAACCCCAGTAGCTATAACAAATAAATACAGTTTGTTGGGTACCTCTGCAGAATCTTAAGTCCCTATGTAATGTTAATATAGAAGAAAACTATAGAAATCTTAAATTCTGGCTTGTAATTTTTAGTTCTATCCATTTACAGACTATATTACCATGGAAAAATTAAATATTTTAAACCGCATATACTTGGCTCAATTTTATGACTCTACTTAACTTAAACATCATGCTATATTTAAAATAAGTCACAAGCCCTAGCTGGTGTTGCTAAGTGGTTAGAGCGTTGGCACGAGCACCGAAAGGTCTCAGATTCGATTGTTGGTCAAGGGCATGCACCTTTGCAGGCTTGATCCCCGGCCCCATTTGGGGCATGTGCAGGAGACCAGTTGATCTCTCTCTCTCTCCCAACCCCCTTTCTAAAAAAATCAATGGAAAAAATACCCTCGGGTGAGAATTAACAAAAACATAAAATAAAACAAGTCACAAAATAAAAGTTTAAAAAAAAAATCACATACACAAGATTAATTTTTGTTTGTACTGCAAAGCTAGCCATTTAGCCATATTTTTTTTCCCAGAAGAGTCAACCACCTAATTCTTTTACCCTGATATTTATGGAATTATTCTCTATTACCTGTGCATACTTTTCTCACCATTGAACTCAATGATTTGTTTCACTATCTTCTTCATTTGGACAGAGATGTGTGTGTGTGTGTGTGTGTGTGTGTGTGTGTATGCCTAAATATAGTAAGATATGTAACAAATTCCCTTGAGAAGGGAAAAAGAGAGCACACACTTATATTTGCTCAGTTTATTGGTGTTGGGTCTGTGTCCAAAGATACAAATTAGGAGACTGGTATCCATCATAGTGCTTATATCCTCATCCAGCTTTATATAACTTCTAATTTATATTCTTATTGGGTGTTGTTAATAAAATTAAAGTAGAATTTGTTAAAGTTGGCAAAAATGTGACTACTCAACTTAACTATAAATATACATACATTTAAATACTTGTCTGGAAGAAAGGGCAGGAGCAAGACAAAGCATGTAATTCCTAGCACTTAAATTCTATAAGATAGCCCTGGCCGGTTTGGCTCAGCAGTTAGAGCGTCGGCCTGCGGTCCTGAGAGGCCCGGATTCGGTTCCCGCTAAGGGCACGTACCTCGGTTGCAGTTTGTCCCCGGCCCCGGTTGGTCGTGTGGGTGGCAGCCACTCGACGTGTCCCTTTCATGTCGATGTTTCTCTCTCTCTCTCCCTCCCACACTCTATCTGAACAAAAAATGGAAAAAATGTCCTCAGGTGAGGATAAAAAAAAAAAAATTCTATAAGATAGAGGTATCGGTCACAGAGTTAAATGTATACATAATCAAATTAATCTTGTACAAGGAACATCTGATCTTAAACTAGTATCACATCATCACATGCTGGATCAAAAGCAGGCAATTTGTAATAAGAATTAAAAGCTTTGGCCTTGGTGGGGTGGCTCAGTTAGTTGGAGTGCTGTTCCCTACACCAAAATGGTTGTGGGTTTGATTCCTGGTCAGGGCACATGCCTAGGTTGCGGGTTTGATCCCCAGTCAGGGCATGTATGGGAGGCAACCAATCGATGATGTTTCCCTCTCCCCCCCACTCCTTTCTCTAAAGTCAATAAGCATACCCTCAAGTGAGGATTAAAAAAAGAAGAAAAAGCTTTGTTTCAAAAATTAATAGGAATAGAAGGCAATTTTTAATTTGGCAGTTCAAAAACACACTTTGTAGGAAACTATGTAGCAATGAAATAGTTCATCATGAAGTTTATGACATAAGTAGTAACTATTTTTTTTTATTTGAAAGAGTTAATGAATATTCAGTTGTGCCCAAAACCATTATTTCCATGCAAATAATTACTACTAATATCAGTGGTTGTTGCTCATAAAAGAACAAGTCATATATATATGTAGAAACAAAATTGATATTTTTTGTATTATTATGTGTAGAATTATCTCTTTAAGAAAGCAAGTATATCAGCATCAATAATTCTTTTAAATTTTAATATCTCTAATCTAGTAGATAGTTCAAAATTACATCAAACAATAGAGAAGATTTTCTAAAATGTTACTGAACATACAGTTATGCCTCTTGATTTTCCGTTCAAAAACTTAGCAAGCCATTTACATCAGAAATTTAATTAAAGAAAGATGTAAAACAGTGTATTGGCTACTGCTAATCTACAAAATACAGCAACGAGTTGTTCTCACCTGCTGAGTATGTTGTATGGGTTGGGAAGATGAAATCCCTGTTACGCTACTTGAGGTTGGCTGACCCTGGCTCTGCCCCTGTGCCTGAAGAAAAAAAGTAAATACAACAAATCAGAGAAGCTCTAAAGTAAATGTATAGAGAAGTCAGACTTTTGCAATAAATATTAAGCTCCTGAGAGTTTGCTTGAGTAAGATGAAACATTAGCTTGATAAAGCATATATGAAGAGACCACTGGGGAATCTTTTATAAGAAAAGGTTAGAGAAGAACATATTCTGATCCCATGCAAAAAAACCACGGATAATTAAACCTAACCACTTCTGCTCAGATCATAATTTTAGCTGGCAAAAATGCAAGATTCACAATACAACTGTTATTGACAATAATCAGGAAAAAAGTAGTAAGATTATCAATGTTAAAAAAAACAAACACCTCTGTATATGAACAATAAAAGAAAAAAGGGCATTTGATAATCCTAATTTGGTTCCTTTTGCTATTTCTAGTAGTGCCATGGTGACTTTATTTAAAAATGTAAAAAAATCTGTTATCAGATTTAATTCTCAAATGGGCAATTTTGCCTCACACCTCAGGAACATTTGGCAATATCTGGAAACATTTTGGGTTGATGCAACTGGGGAGGTGGCTGCTACTGGCATCTAGTGGGAAGAGGCCAATGATGCTGTTATACATCCTACAATGTGCAGAACAGCTACCTAAAACAAGTAATTATCCAAACTAAAACATCAATAATGTTGAATTTAAGAAAATCTGACCTATAAAAGTCTGAGTTAAAATAACAGAACATGAAAAAAATGAATGCGGGACTTTACAGAGGTAAGTTAAGTAAATGAAAAGGCCCACCTTTGTTGTTCTATTTCAGTTTTGAGGTTTCTTTGAAGGTTACTTGGATACAACATAACATTTCACCACATCGTAACCACTATAAGTGTTCATTGTTTCTGCAATGTCTGAAAATTAACTGATTCTTGAAATTTTATTTTGGAATGTTTAAAGTAAATGGCTGACAGCACATTAAGATTTATAGTATGGGCTGACAACTAGTGTAATGATGTGAGTATAATTTTCCAGTTTCTGGATCTTTTTTATCCTTGGCACTATTCTAAGTAAATGATACTTTAGGTGCACTTTCAGGGTTGTTTATGCCCACGTAGGAAGAAAGTACGAAGAAAAACATATAGCACTTTATAAAAGAGTGGAATATTTAAAAGATCCAAACAATGCCTTAAATATACAATTTCCTAGTTGCCTAGATAAATTTTATAAGACTTATATGTGTGATAAAATGTATCAAAATATATAAAATAGTTAATACTGACTCCACTTCTCAAATTCTATTATGTCCATTACTTGGTCTTTATTTGCAAGACTGCAATAGCTCATAAACATAAATAACAAATGTGTTGATGAAAACACCTAGGCCTGAGATAATGTTCCTTAGCTTGCAACATATACCACAAATTCTTAAAACAAATAGAAAAAAAGAAAACCCAGCACCCACACTAGATTCTAACTGAGTTGGTAAAAATTAGAATTAGTCAATTTTATGGATTAACATTTTATTTGGACATATACAGTGACTTGTTCGATTGATGCCTTTAAAAAACAGGCATCTTAATTTTGTTAAAACAAATTCCTAAGATGTTGCCTTTCTTTTAAAATCCTTCCACGGTAATAAAAATTCTGTGTATTGTTAATTCTACATTTAAAAAGTGTATCTTTTTTATTTTATTTAACTAGCCATGTTTATTTCTAGGGAGAAAGAGATAGTTCACATTAGTATTTATAAATAATCAACGCTGAGTCAACTTTACATTATAGACATTTGCATTTTTACTACTAGTTTTAAATATTCTATCTATGGATAGAAGTAACTGATTTTGACAACTGACTAAAATTCTAGTTTTTGTGTACTCTTTTCCAAGGGTTTGCATATATTATAGGTAAGTTAGGCAGCTTCTCTTTCATATTCTGGTCTTAAATACAAGTAGTTTATAATACCGCCAAATGGAGAAATTCTACTTATAAAATTAAATAATATTCCTCATAAATGAAAAAGGAGGGATAGAAAACTTAAATGTAATGGTGCATAGTAGGGTAGTTTAAAATAGTGGAAATTTTCCTATAACCTGTGGATGGAGTGCAGATCCTCCTGAAGAATATGAGGCAGATAAAACCTGCTGAGATGTGGTTCCTTGGGGGAAACAGAAGAAAAGTGGGGATTCTTGTAACACTGTCTGAGGCAGACGGATAAAGGGTAATGAGACGTCAGAGCCAAAAGATGCAGTTGCTCCCCCTGTAGGGGGAGGTGATTGAAAATCACTGGGGTCTGAAGAAGTAATTTGTGAGGAATCACTGGAATATTCTGGGCTTCCTATTGGCCAGTTCTGTCCCATAGGCTCTACCACAGAAACGGTCAATTCTGGGGCATGATAATTACGCTGTTCTTCAGTCACAGGCTGCAGGCGGCCATGTAATCCAACTGATTGAGGAGGTAGTTCTTCCTGATTCAAGTCCACTGCAACCTGTCGAGTTCGGTAAGCACGCTGAGATAAAACTCCCCCTCCTTCTCCTGAAGAGGAGCTTGGAGCGTGAACATGAAATTCAAATACACAATTGCTTCTGCTCTCATTGTTATGAGTTAACACAGCAGGCGCAGAATGAGGAACAAAGACAGGGTGAAATTTCAAACGTGTAGCATCTGTACTGATAGGTGCAGAAATACTAGAGAGGGGAGATCCTGGACTCAATCCAGAATCTAATCTTAAATTCTGAAGGTGTCCTACCAAGAAAGCCTGTCCAGATGGAAATTCAAAGACAGAACTTGAGGAAGGGCCCCCGTGTACTGGCTTCTGTTCAGGTATCTGTTTCATAGGACTTGACAATATTGGTGAGTTGTATGGAATACCCTCATACTGTTCTGCCACCTGGGCCTGGTACTGTACCCCAGCTAGATACAATGCTTCCTGAGGAACGAAATAGTGAGCTTCTTCTGGAAGTACTAGTCCAGGTCTACAGTCACTGTAAACTTGAGGTGGTTCAACCATAGGATTGACCTGTATCTCACATGGCTCTCCAGTTATTCTACTGGCTGTAGTACCCAGCATAACTACGGCCTCTGGTGTCCAGTTAGTTGGGCTGCCACCAGGTGGAAGAAGATTGTGGCCAACAGTCCTCAGCAGGGGTTGGAAGTGGTGAGTTTGGGCTTCCAGGAAGGAGGTGCTCTTACGCCGCTGGGAAATGGCCACCTTCGGTGGACAGGTGGGAGGTGGTGAAAAAGAAACTGGACGTTCATGAATAGTTGGGAAAAATATCTGTGATTCTGGGTATGTTGGGGTCCCCCCACACGGATGCACCATGGACTGAGGCTGTATCAACATGAATAAAACAAGTAATTCATACATTCATATGTAAAATTACATTTGACATGCACAACTGGGTAGCTTTGTGTAACCCTATGTAATGGTTACATCAAATTTATAATTAATAAAGAAATAACAATACTTGTAGAAATTATGTGCATAGTAAAAATCCATTAAATACATCCAGGGTCCATGTAATTATTCTGTGGGACTCTTTGCATCAGATAAAAGCTGCTTTTCCACAATTTTCCTTTCTCAAAGGAAATGGAAGAATTTAACTTTCTAAGTGATTATTCTATTTTTACCCACAATTAATATTCTTACTCTTAAGACTTAATATAAATTATATCACTGGAAAAAGAGTTAGAGTTAAAGAAAGAAAAGGTAAGGGAAGACAATAAACCCAACAATTTTTAAAAGAAATGTGTTTCAATTGAAGTTACTGTACAAAGTCTACCTATAGTCTATATTTTTATTATCCTCTCCTGTTAGAGGCTTCAGTGTTTTCTTATCAAATAATCGTATGTCTTCTAAGTAGAAATAAGAAGAGATTTTTGGTGGATAGTAAAAAATACACATCTTGACTAGGGACAGTGATGTCTTTCTCTGGTCTGTCCCAAACTAGATAGTTAATTTTACTACATGAAACATGTGTGACAGATGTCATATTATTAAATGTCCACTTTTCTGGTCCTAGTTAATGGATTAATAATTTGGTGGCCTAATCAGGAGAAAAGAATCATAAATAGCAGCTGACTTGATTTAACAGCACTTTTTTGGGTCACAGAAGCAGTTCTAGATTTAAAACTCTAAATTTAGAATCCTACCTTGCCAAGTGCAAACAGTGCACACTTAATAATTCACTTCCATGGGCTCTTTTTAAAAAGGGATCAGTTTCATTTTTTCAATAGGGAAGAACCCAATCAAGTTAGCAAAATAGCTCAGTTGTTACTTCTTCACAACATCTAAAAGAGGAGTTCTATTAGTATTCAAAAGCTAAAAAACACTATATTGTTAATCATTCTCCTAGGTAAAAATCCGAATATTTGGATGTTGCTAGATCAGAATGTGAACTATATTCTCTATCTGGAAAAGCAACAGCAAGGTCCCACAGTGTTTAAAACTTTAAAAGATAGATCTTTTAATAGGCATAAATGGGGCCAAAGAAAATCATATTACTATAAATGTGACTAATATATTCATTAGAATCAAGATCCCAAACTAAGAAAAAAATTTTCATGGCCATTTAGTTTGCTGACACATCATTTTAAATAGCTAAGAAATTAAAACAAACTATCACTCTTCAATTATTATTCAATGACTATGGGAATAAACAGACTCATCCAGTTTCATTAGCATCTGAGGAGAAAACATGTTTGGGTAATGTTTGTTAAAGAGAAAATTTACTTTGATTAAGCCAACAATGAGTTTAAAATTAAATAATACACATATTCTTTACTATGAAAATGCAAGGATTTGTATATGTCAGTGGGGGATAGGAGAATATAAAAAAAAGTTAAACTTTATTGTACACACACTTGACATATGTCAAGGGTGTGAAAAGCATTCTCTCTCATTACCTCCTTGCTTTTCCCCCCTTAAAGCCTTATGACAAAAATATTTCCTACAGGAAAAACTGGTACCCTAAAGCATTACATATTACTAAGTTTAGACCTGTTCTTTATTTAATTTTTATGAAAATTCTTGATGCCTGGATGTATTCATTGGTAATAAATTTTCATTTGTCAGGAAGTTTATGGTTACATACAGTACTGACAAAGAGGGAAGGCAGGCTGGAGCGTCGTTGCTTGCGCTGAGAGGCAGAGTGCATAGGCAGGACACTCTCCAATGCTTTACAAAGCTTTTCGGCAAAAGTTTCCTCAGGGGCAGTCCGAAGGAGGGAAGGAGAAAGAGGTGCAGACACCACTGGTGGTGGGGTGGAAGGAGCACTGGGAGAGATGCGGGACAGAGAGGGAACAGCAGAAAGATGGGGAACACAAACCGACATGCTACGGCCACGACGAGGCTAAACAGAAAACAAACACACACATGAAAAACAAAGTACTTTGAAAACAAAATAACCAAATGTACAATGATAATAGGGCATAGCTGACAAAAGGAAACATTATTTCTCCTCCAATTCCACAAAGCCAATTTTTTGGGGAGAGATATAATTCCAGAAAGCACACCTGGCTGATCACATTTATTTCTCTCTACACTGTGGGTCAAGTACAGGTTTTTTTTTAATGAACAACCATGATAATGATCAATTATCTCTCTAAATATTCTAAAATAACCAGAATTGTTAAGAGTGTATGAATAAGAATGAGCGACTGAGGTAGAACATACAAGGTAAACAATGAATGTTGGCTTGAAGTTTCTGCAAACTTCTTAAAATTAAACAAGAATGAATTCTATTAGTTTAATGCACATTATAAGATGTAGAAGATTTTAAGTCTGGATTACTTCGCAGAAACTCTGGAAGCCTCAGAAGAGGTTTCTCAATTCTATTTGAGAAGGCATCAAATTTTAAAAGCTGTTGTATTTTATTTATTATACTCGCCTATCTTTATCTGTAAAGGTAAAAAAGTCATTTTCTACTAGAAAAAGCATTATCTTTCTAGTAGTAATTCAGAATAGATATAGGAAACATTCTGTATTTATACAAAAGTAGTTAATGGAAAAATATCTTAAATGGGAATCTCTAAAAAATAAATTTTTTCAGGTATATTAGAGATTCAATTTAGGTTTACAAAGTTTAAGGCACCTTAACATAAAAGTTGTATTATAGCTACAAAGCAGTACCTCTAATACTGTAAGGTTGTCCTGAGCAATAATTTATTTCCTTTCAGATATTGTAAACTGCAACACCACCCCCCTCCCCAAAATTTGGCTGCACAGAATTCTACAAGCCAAATTTATGGCCCACCAGCAGCAAGTATGTAAATATCATCATATGATTACTTAGTTTCATTCCTGGTTCTATTTTTCTCCACCCTTGTTTCTCTTTTATTTTAATTTTAAAATTCTACTTATAATTGATATATTATTATGAGTCACAATAAAATCTTTCTGGAATAAGAACAAAATTATAAAAATTCTAAGTCCTCAATATTTAATCACTCTTCATGACACCTCCACAGAATACTGTCATTAAAAGGCAAGACTTCAATAACAGTCTGCTTTAAGCGTGTCAATAAATATAGCTATGTTTGTGGCTCAAATATTTAAAATTTTCATAAATGATCATTCCATTTCCTTTTCTAAAGTAGCGACCCAATGTTCATAACCCTGTAATAAATGGGTGAAGCCAATAAATTAAAAATAGTTTTCAAAAAGTGTAGTGTGATGACACAGAAAAAAAATCAATTATAACAAGAGTAGAAACTGGCAAGAAATTCTAACAAATAAAATTGGTCAGATCACAGAAATACATCTATACCGTCTTTTTTTAAGTTCTTCTAACCCACCTAATTATTTTAAAGATCAGAAAAGTAGATTGTTAAAACAGTACATTAGTAGTTTTGTGTTACTGTGGCCATTCATTTTGAGAACTAGCCAATGGAGGACTGATGAATGGACTCTGAAATAAACACCTTTTATCCCAAGCTGTAGGATAAAAGACTAGAGCAAGCAGAAGTATTTTCTTAACAGAGAAAGATTTATTTAATGAAGAGCAAGAGATGCACAAAATTCAGATTAAAAGCTTTCTGAGAAAGGGAAAATCTACCTGCCTAAAGATCTCCTAAACAAGTGCTATACAATGATCAGTTATTCTCAAATTCCTTCCTGAGCCAGATGGTGTATTTTATTTACCTCTGAAGACTTCACAGAGGGTCATCAAAAGAAATGGGATACTATCGAATGATGTACTTTAACATTCTATGAGAAGCAAAAGTAGCTAATGTAAAACATGGGGTAATAATGTGTATATATCTGTATGTATGTGTTTATGTACATATATAAGATATCTCAGGAAATAATCTCCATAAATTGATTCTGAAAATAAATCAGTAAGAAAACAGATACCAAATAAAGGAAAAAAGCAAATGAACATATAACAGGGAAGGAACTTGTGTCCAAGACAGATTTTAAGGAGGAACACACATAGCAACTGATGATTAAACATAAGCGCTAAATTAAATGGTCATACAAATAAAGGATTCCTTCACTCTAGAGTACTCACATGCAGCATTCTATAATGGTCTGAAGGTCTTACCTGTGTTTTATACAATAAAAAAAATCTTACAGAAAATACTTAGTAATCTTTTAATAAGTAGGCTTTTGAAAGACTCTCCTCACCCCCCAACCCCAAAACATTTGTATATCCAACTTATGCTGCTGTTAACATTTGTATGTCCAACTTATGCTGCTCTGAACAGTTTTAAATCTAAGGGCTAAAGAGAGCATTATTTTTAATCAAAGGTAGAACAATCTAAATCTTGTACATAGCTGAACCTGCCTGAACTACTTTTAATACACTCTATAATAAACCTATTTCCTTCAGAAATAGACCATTTATAATTTCTACTTCAGACTCATGCAGTTATTTGGATACCAGAAAGAATTTGAACTTAACACATTATCTATTGGCTCTCATTATAGGCTTACACACCCTTATGCTGTTACTTACCATACTTGAAGGTGGATATACTCCATGGGGCTGAGATTGTGCTTGGACAACAGAAGCTGGGTGCCCTGGGAGTGTTCCAGTAGAATGTGCCTGTTCATGTTGGGAACCATATGAAACTGTCTGTTGACTGCTCACTCGAGATTCTGTGAAGACGGAAGATCCCTGACCACTGTCAACAGTCCCATCAGCTGAAGGAGAAATAAATTGCCAAAAAACAGCGAGACAAATCACAAAATGGAGGCTCACATTTTCCCCATCACAATCCAATGACTTTAGAATCAAATAGCATTTATCACAGACCTAAACTAAAAAATAAATACTAATTATTTTACTAAGTACATTTCTAATGTTTAAATGAGAGATCCACATGGAAAAAAGTTTTAATGTCTTTAAAAAAAATCTGGCTATCACAGACTCTTATTATCTGACAAATAAGGGAAATAAAATGGATTATTGTTAGTCAGCCTGAAGTATGGCATAACTTTCAAAGTCATGAATTTAGAGATCAGTGAGTTCTTGGTACTAAACAGGTAACTCTATTAATTTCTAGCAATCTCATTAGTTTCCAGTTTATACATTATTCACCTTTGCTAAAAGAGCTAAACCATGTTAATGGGTTTAATTATAAGTAGTTAACGTCAACTTGTTCTTTTTCATTATTAATTATATTTCATTTTAAGGAATTATGAAAAGTGGAAATCTACAAATTGAAATTTCTAGGATGAAGGAACCTGTAAACTCTTATAGCTTTTATCACATTTCCTCACTGCCCCATCCTTCTTTTCTATTAGTCATAGATATACAAATAGAAAGAAAAGGTAGATGGCAACCATTTCAAACTTATTACATGTTGGATTCATAATTCAAAACCAAGAGGGCAGTGCAAAACCATTAATAAGAAGATAAAAAGTCAATTAGGAGTGTCCTTAGCTTATATTTGTCCACTTCCCAAAATACTTACATAACACAGATATACTAGGTTGTTGGTACTGTAGTTGTTGATGTTGGTCTGCCTCAGGTTCTTCAGGTTCTACTTGTGTAGAAACTGAAGCTGAAGTGGCAGAGGCGGTAGGTATGCTAGTGCTAGCAGAGGGGAGTTGCTTGATTCCTGCCTGGGAAGCACTTGGTTGCTGTTCTCCTTGCTGTAAGACACTTTCTTCCTGCTTTTTCTTTTCTTGCTCCTCCCGCACCAACTGCCGCTGCTCTCGTTTTCTCTTAATTAATGACACTCTATCTTTGATGGCTTTTGCCATGGTCTTGTGATCACCTTCACAGACATACCCAGACTCTACCTAAAGGATAAAAAAGTACATTAGAAACTAGTAGGATATCAAAAGAAAAAACAAATATAAAACAAAAAAGGGCACTTTTAAGAGAAAAGTAGAGAAGGGAAAGAAAGGACTCTCTAAGATTTAGTCTTAACCAAATTGCAAAATTACTGGTCTACATTATATATTTCCCCACCATTTTTTGTTGTTGTTCAGACAGAGTGGGAAGGAGAGAGAGGAAGAAAGAAAGAGAGAGAGAAACATCGATGTGAAAGGGACACATCGAGTGGCTGCCACCCTCACGACCCAACCAGGGCCGGGGACAAACCACAACCAAGGTACATACCCCTGGCGGGAACTGAACCCGGGTCTCTCGGGACCGCAGGCCAACGCTCTAACCACTCAACCAAACCGGCCAGGATTTCCCCACCATTTTTGTAGATAATCATGGGGTGGGTGCCAGGATCTTTGTAGAAATCTGAGGGTTAAGTGTACCTTCACTTCTTATAACAACAAAACAATGGGAAATCTAAAACTAAAAGGCAAATAAGCCCATTTGATTCTACTCACTCTACTTCTCTTTCACTAGGCAACTACTTAATCAGATAAAACAACTAGTAAATATGGGAAGGTTAACAAACAAACCGCAAACAGTATAAAAAACTAACAAAAATAATCTTTTTCATACATAGGCAACTACTATTGATGGTTCTTATAAACTCTAGTACATATTTTATAAATATCTTTGCATATAGTAAATGACTATTTTAGGCCTTATAGCATGCCTAAAATTGGTGAAGTGTTTCACTTTTGAAAAGTGGTATTTTACAATACTTCAAAAATAATTCAGCGAAGGCTATACCTAGTTTAATTTGAAAACTCTCTTCAAAGTAAAAACAATTTATGATCTATTTATAGGGTTTATACAGATGACTGACCAAATTTAGAAATGTAACTTCTCATTCTAATTAAATATGCTTTCACACACTAGGAGTTGTTCAACATTAAACTTTCAAAATGACTTCAAACATATTCTAGTTTCATTCTATTCTATTCTATTCTATTCTATTCTATTCTATTCTACTCTATCCATCCATACCTATACATTTGTAAGCCTATATATCTTTTCCTCAAATAAAAATAATTTTGGGGCCATTAATCAACATAATTTTATATCCATGGCATATACTACATACACTGCTTCATAAATTGCTTTTCTGCTCGACAATATCAATATACATAAATCTGCATCAATTTTTAAATGGCTGATTAGTGTTAATTTACCATTTCTTGAGCAACATCTTCTGGCACATCTCTGTCCAAGTCAAAGGAAAACTCAATAGCTTCATTGTCTTTGTATTTTCCCTTTAATTTCTTAATATCTTCAATACGTAGCCATAATTTAATGGCTATCTTTTCTCCATCATCTTCTTCTGCTAATTCTACCCGCACCCCTGTTTCCTCCTGGAAGAAGGCATGGTTCAAAAGGTCTTTGATAGAATATCTTAGAGAAGGAAAAAAACAAATAAAAAAAAACACATAAAGTACCATTAGATTGAAAAGATATTTTTCAAGTGTGGCTGATTACTGTTATGTTTGGAATAGTGAAAAAAGACTATGACCAAAAACAAAGTAAATTTTATAACTCATTTTTACATTGCTCCAATTGAGCAGTGATTATAGAGTTTTAATCTCCGGTTATAGAACATCATAACAATCTCATTTATGAATAAAAACTGAAAGTGTTACTTTTTAAATCTAATCTCAGTTAATAGTGTACTAACAATAGTAAGTAATACAAAGAGTATCATAACTTTGAAATACCACATAATCATTTATATAGCATTTATAGTTAACAAAAAAATCCTCAATATATATGATCTCATCTGATCCTTGACCAACATCCAATGAGATATCCCAATTATTAGGATATGAAAGTTCAAACAGGTTGAAAATCTTGCTCATAGTTATAAAAGTAGTAAATGGTGTAATTAAAACTTAAAAATAAATGTTTTGATTTCAAGTTCATTGCCTTCTACTACAGCAAGCTTTATTTACACTCCCGCCCCTCCTAAATTCTCTTAATTCTTTGTTCAACAATTTGTGTACTAGGCAAGTAGAAGTCTGATTGTGGAACAGTCTTCTTTAGATAAATTGTCTCAAAATACCAGTAATCTAGTAAATGTTCCATCCAGAAAAGAAACAGAGTAATATGTTTGAAGACTGAAAACAAATATTCCTTTGTTTATAGTAAAAAAAAAAAAGTTCTTAAAGAGATTAAAGACTCTCTTTACCAATCAGTGTATATAAAAATAGAAACCCAAATTAAATTTCTACTAAAAAGCCTTAAAGATCATAATGTTAAGCTCTTCCAAATAATGAAGTTCTGAAACGAGTATGAGACTGGAGAAGTGAAGATATGGAATTCGTTAATTTGGTTGATATACCTGATTGCTCACATTCTTCTGAAGGTAGACTATGCTCAAGTTACAATTTATATTTGTACTGGCTAATCTACTTTTGCGGGGGGGCAGGGGGGTGAAAGAGGATTATTTTTCAAAAACAGACAATGGACCTTTGCCATGCCTAACGGGTGATGAATCAGCTATATGGCAGATCAGATACTTGCCACTCCTCTGAGAAAAGTCCTCTGTGAATACAAATGACTAAGCCAGATCTCCTCCTAAGCTTTGGGCAAAGTCATCTCTTTTTACTCAAAGGAATTTTGATGTTTTGCTCTTCTTTAATTCTGGCATAATAAAAGCAAATCAAGACCTGTATAGTTGAGTTGATTTTAAAGAGCCAAGATTTTATTTCGCCTTTTAGAATTCAATGGGTAAAAAACTAAGGACAGATTTGCTGCATTAGAGATTGAACCATATTGAGTTTTATACATCATGCTGAGGTTATATGTAAATATCACTGAATGCAGATGTTTCAGGTAATTCTGGTTTACTTAAACTATATCAAACCACAGTTTTACAACATTTCAGTATATCAAAATTTGAATACTACCTTCAATAGACAAAACTCTAATTTTAAAGATATTATGGCATGAATGGAGAAACTAATCATAAGTGAAGTACTGAATACACCTGAGATTGAATGTTAAATTCAGAGCATGTTATATTTTAGGTTTTTGTTTAAGCAACAGGTCAAGAGGCAACTTACCTTTCATCTTTGTTTTGCCGAATGCATCCTTCAATAATTTCCTTCACTTCAGGAATCGCTACTTTGTCAAAACTGGCCGGCTTCACCCCCTGAAAACCATTAAAAAACAGTGACAGAAACACATTAATAAAAGTAGAGCCTTTGAACTTTGACTTTCAATCGACTCTTATGGTTCCATTAGATTGCCTTCTTATTAACCTGGCTTTTTTCTGATTTGTCTGCAAGAGCTGGTTCATGCAGGCTGAGTTGAGTAGTGGCAATTTAACTCACAATACAACAAAAAGAATCAGATGGGGGTGGGAGGAGGGCACTTACTTCCATGGCTTCTATATGTGGCTAGAGAAAATTTTAGAATGTTGTCAACATTTGCTGCTGTGTTTCAAGTAAGAGAAGTTATTGGCTAAAAAGAAGGCCAAATATTCTAATTGGTTAGAATATCTTTTGTCCAACCTTGTTCCCTAAACACATTAATCAACACAGCATTTAACTGTTTTGAACAGTGAACTCATGTGTGGGCATGAATTCACACGCTGAGTTTGGCAGGTATTTTATTATCACATACTCTAACAAACTCAGCAAGTATAAAAGGAGTTAAGGATTTGGACTGGTTTGGCATGATAACTGAAGAGCAAACTCATGAAACTCATACATATGAAACATAAATAAAAAGTGATATATCAGGCCCATATCAAAGACAAACTGTTCAATTACTTTCCGAAGAAAAGTCAATACCATGATTACATGTAATCACGTGATATTTTAGAACCTTCATAAAGTATAACTTCTTTGCAAATAAAAATTTCAGCACTGTGTTGAAAATATACCTAAGACAGAAGAATAACAAAATACCCTATCTGAGAGGTGTTGTGGAAAAAGCATCTCTTTATCTATTCCCAACTGATCTAAGTAATCACATGAATTGAGCTGAAGTAGCTACACTGATACACTATCCAAGTGGAACCAGATGTCTATAAACACACAAAACACAGGGAAACAGGGCAGAAAAACTAGAAAAGTTAAAATGCACATAAATTCTAATCTATAATCCCAGTGACAAGATATATTAAACAAAAATTAGTGATAATTTGATAGATCACAGAAATGCATGTAATCTCTCATAGACTGAAATGAAATATAGTTGACCCTTGGACTATGTGTGTGTTGGGGTGGGGGTTAGGAGTGATAACTGCCCTGGGCAGTTGAAAATCCACTTGTAACTTTTGATTTCCCCAAAACTTAACTACTAATAGCCTGCTGTTGACCTTATCAATAACTTAGCTGATTAACACATATTTTGTATGTTATACATATTATATACTGTATCTTATAATCAAGTAAGCTAGAGAAAATGTCATTAAGAGAATCATAAGGAAGAAAAAACACATTTACAGTACTATACATATTAAGAAACAAAAAAAACAAAAAATGATGTATAAAGTGACTTGCATAGTTCAAAGCTGTGTTGTTCAAGGGTCAACTCAACATTAAATGGCTAGCTCGAAAAAGTCTTTAAATACTAGAGTTGTAGTGAAATAATTCTCATTATTTACTCACCGCATTAGTCAAAAATCCTAATTTGGAGGAGTCTGCCCCTATGACTAACCTTAGTGCTGATCCTAAAATTAAATCAATGTATTTAAAAGCTTCACTTCTGAGTAATGACTACAAAGATCACAATTAGTATTTTCCTTACTTTTTAAATCCAGCAAATTAAGTTTTCCCAACTGGTCTTTGATTTGACATAATAATTATAATGAAAACAAGAAAATAATGCTGCTGAAGCAAAAAGCTGCTTTAATTAAGCACAGTGGTATGGTATTTCAAATTAAGACTTAAGAAAATAGGAACTGTTTTAAGAAAATAAATGGATGATGCACACTAAAAGTTATCTGGTAGAAACACTGGATTTTTTTTTTATATTTGTTTATAATTTTCTACAACATGTAAAACTGTATAAAAGCAAATTTTAAAAATTATATTTATAAATATAATGCGAACAAAAATCTAAATACTGTGTACTAAGTTTGTAGAACATTCACTATTGGCGGAAAATTATCTGAAAGACTATTTTTTGGTAAAACTGGACACTAATACATAGCTGATTTTTTTTTTCTTTTAATCCTCACCCGAGGACATTTTTGCATTTATGTTCAGATAGAGCAGGAGAGAGAGAGGGAGGAAGAAAGAGAGAAACACTGACATGAGAGAGACAAATCGACTGGCTGCCGCCCATGCGACCCCAACTGTTGCCGGGGACAAACTGCAACCAAGGTGCATGCCCTTAGCCGGGTCTCTTTGGTCCACAGGCTGATGCTGTAACCAGTGAGCCAAACTAGCCAGGGCTACATAGTTGATTTTGCATGTAAAAACATTCCAAATGTTATAGGAAAGTGGCTAAAGAGAATATACAATATGATTAGGAAATGTTCCTTCTTCCATAAACACTCTTATTTTAGAGGAATAAAGTGTGGCCTTCTGGCAGTAAAACTCTACATATTAAGGTAATAAAATACACATACACTGATTATATTAAAAGACTCTTCTATTCTAAGTTAGCATAAGCATATTGGAAAGATGAAAGAATTTAACAGAGAAGTTGAATTGAGAGTGAATTGGACAAGTAGACACAGCTGAGCTTCAGATTCCTTGTCAAGCAAATGAGAATACCTACCTATACAATTCACCTACCTATAGTCACAGCAGCTAGAATCAAATGTGATTTCTAGGCTGAAAGCTCTTTGAATTATTAAGTTTGCAGATCTAAGGCCACTTTGGAGTCCAAAGGCAATCACCAAAGATAATAAAATTTAGGGTTAAAAGGAAGCAGAGAATTCTCTTAAATAATAATCACCAAGATCCACTGTGAACCTGTTTTCATCCTGTCCTCTAGTTAATCCTATCCATGCAAACATATATACATTCATGATTTTACAAATAAGAATTCTTATTTACAAACAGAAATACTAGTTGAATAAATGAGATCAATAGCAAAACCAGCAACTGTGCATTATATAACACCTTAAATCTACTAGGTTAAGCTACTTTCTCAACCTATAGCTAAGATTTTCGTATGCAATACCAATGCGATACAGCACATACATTTTAGAGGAATGTAGTTTGGCCTTCTGACAGTAAAACTCTACATATTCAAATGTCACTGGTGCCTTAAAAAATGTATTGCAGATGCCAAGGTAGCCCAATAAAATGGAGACACACCTTACCAGTCCAGCAGCTGGTATTAAAAGATTAAGGCTGCTTACTGTTACTCACTTAGATCATGAAAAAAGTAAAAAGAAATGTCACCAGCCAGCTACCATCAAGAAATCAGGATTATCAAAATATATAGCAGAAATTCTGAATCATTTAAGAAATTCTGAATCATGCCCTGGCTGGTTTGGCTCAGTGGTTAGAGTGTCAGTCCACGGACCAAAGAGTCACGAGTCCGATTCTGGCCAAGGGCACATACCTCAGTTGCGGTTGGTCTCCAGCCCTGGTTGGGGTCGTGCAGGAGGCAACCAATTGATGTGTCTCTCACACCGATGTTTCCTTTTCCTTCCTTTCCTTCCTCCCTCCCTCTCTCTCTCTCCCCCTGCCCCCACTCCTTCCCACTCTATCTGAAGATACATGAAAAATATCCTCAGGGGAGAATTAAAAAAAGAAGAAGAAATTCTGAATCTTTTAAGAAGCAAGACTATACAGGGACTGTGTATTTCAAAAGACCCAAAAATGTAAAAACGAGTATAAAATCTCACGACCCTTAAAGAAAAGTCACCTGGGACACAGAAACAGGTACAGGTTTTCATATACATCATACTCACAGACTTCTTGTTCTTAGGAGATGAGAAAACTCAATGAATTTTCAAAATTTTTTATAAATAATTTTTAATTTTAGAGAAGTTGGTTGAGGGGGTGGAGAGGTAGTAAAGAATAAAGGGGCCAAATATATGGTGACAGAAGATTATTTGACTTTGGGTAGTGGGCACAAAATGTAGTATACAGATCATGTATCACAGAAATGTGTATTTGAAACCTGTATGGTATGATCTTATGGACCAGTATCACCCCAATACATTTAATTTTTTTAAAAAGTTGGTTGAGATTATTCTCGAACATGATTTTAAGCACCAGACAAAACAAACATGTTTAAATGATAAAAGACTTCACCTTTTTTCATTTTAGTTCATATACTTAGAGCCTAAAAAATCTTCTGTCACCTCTTTTCTTTACTCCCTGATTTAGCCCTACACAGTCCTATTCTAGTCCTGTTCTGACCAATAAAAGCAAAGTTTTTGCTCACCTGTTGTGACTGAGGTTCAAAAACACAAAACAGAACAAAATAATGAGGTAGATTAAGTTTAGCTAATACTTTACACATACATAAAGAATAGTTAAAGACACACACTCTCTTATTCCATTCTTCCACAGCCAGCAACCCACTGGCTCTAGAAATATTCTTGCTCACTTTTGTAATTCACAGGATCTCTCTCTAGGCAGTAGTGCCATATTGTGTGTTTTTTTTTGACATGTAACAGTAGTAGCATGTTTCTCTGCATTAAACAAAAGTACTTCTTTTTAAAATTTTATTTCCAAATAGAGTGGGAGGAAGGGGAAAGGGAGACAGGGAGAGAAAAACATCGATTGGTTGCCTTCTGCACGACCCCTAAGATCCACAACCAAGGTATATGCCCCTGACCATAATTGAACCTGTGACTCTTTGGTCTGTGGGCCGACGCTCTAACCACTGAGAAAAACCAGCCAGGGCAAAGCAAAAGTACTTCTTGAACATCTAATAAGATATTTTAGGGATTATACAAAATTAGTTATTTTCTTAAAAATACAAAGGCCATTTTTGTGCAATCTTAAATGGAGTACAAAAAAAATAATTGTACAAGAGTTGATATAAGATAAATGATTATAAAATATGTTGTTTTATTTGAACTAAAAAAAAAATTGAAAACATATATTTGCATTTTATAGACTTCAAGTTTTTCTTTGAATTCTATATACTTATGGTTTGCCAACTAATCTGCTGAAAAAATAAAGGTGAGTCATAATATAGTATTCTTCTGGCTCAATCTTCCAGTTCTTA